ACGTATATATAAGGTGCCAAATGTTGAAGTAAATAAATTCTCGAATCTTTCTACTATCAATGACACGAGTATCCAAGAAGACCTCTCCCCCCAACGCTCCAGTCCCAGGACTCATGTCGAGGAAAACCAAGGAAGAACTAGCCAAGTCTATCCTAATCACTCGGAACCGCGAAAATATATATCAAGAAATCACCGGCGAGGAAGACCAAGACCACCCGGATCTGATTCAACTGAATCCCTCTACCAAAAAACCTCTACCCCATTCCACCCTGGACGAACTACTAAATTTCGACTTCCTAACCGAAAACTTCGATCTGCCAGACGTACCCATCCTAGACCCTTGTACTATCTTGATCAAAAAGGAATACGAAGAAAGCAAGAACCGCTTGTTCTTCGAGATCACCAATAAGTATAATATCCTGGACCAAATCGAACGCTCTCTAACAAATGATTTCAAGAAATTAATCCCTCCTTGCTCCCCATAATTCACACACAATTCAAAAACTACCGCCAATCTGCTCGGGCCTATGTCAGCAAACGAAATGCATATCTGAAGTCTGAATTAGGCGCCAAACTCTATAAGAACCGTCAATTTCACAATCTTCTTAATGTAATGGATGATTGGCCAGAATGTTAAAAAAAAAATTTTTTAGACTTTTATTCTTTTCCTTTTCCTTTTTCCTTTTTCCCTTTTTCCTTTTCCTTTTTCTTTTCCCCTCTTCTTACTTTGCCTGTCCTTCTTTGAAAAACGGTAAGGATTACCTTATTCCTTCCCGGAGGATATGTTACACGGCACTTTTTGTCGTTCTGACCTAAGTTTTTTATTTTTTTTTGACTGCTTTTTGGTCCTTTTCTTATAAAAGGACCATAAAATTATTTAATAAAATCATTAGTTTGTTCTTTACCTTAATCTGAATAAGTCTTAATACTTTAAGTCTTTGTGATTTTGTATTTATTATAATTGCTTGTAATTTCCTTCTGTAAAATCAGCATTGTAGCTATTCCATTACGTATTTAACTATACTCCTTCGAATACCACATTTATCTGATTTCGTCGTATAAATTACCCTATTATATAAATATATTTTATCTTTTTCAGTTGACAACTACACCTTTTGTAAAAATAAATGGCACAAACTCCGAAAATAATGGCACACTTTTTTTTTTTCGATTTGGCACAGTTGAGAATTATGTATGGCACACTAATCCAAATTAAGTTGGCACATATCGTATTTAATGATGGCACACTTTTGAAATTTTTTATAGCACACTTTTCTTTTAATTCAATAACTAAAAAACATGTCTCTCAAAGTCTATTTCGAAGATGGTAGAGGAAATGCCATGGATGAAGATGGCTTAGAACCTGTGCAAATGGAAGTGGATGAGGAAGCGTATCCTCTAGATAATATAACCACTTATGATTCACATCTAGATCTAAAACCACCTGAAAAAAAAATACAAGCAAAAGTTAACAAACTCAACAAAGCTCCCAGTAATCGTAACGGTTCAAACAACAAAAAAATACATCGCGGAGATGATGTAAAGGATATGTTTTTTTACTACGTCTATGAAAGGGGACTGACTGCTGGAAAAGCGGCAAGTGTTATGAATATCCCTCGTAGAACGGGTTACAATTGGCTTAAAGACGATCAGGATGTTCTCGTGGGTAGACTCGAAGGGAAAAACGATGATAGTAGTGATGAAAAATTGACTGAGAGAAGAGGTAGAAAGGCAATATTAAACGAAGATCATAAAAAGCACCTTGAGGAAACGTTTGGTGAGAACCCTTCAGCAACGGTCGATCAAGCTATAGATAGTTTGACTAGTCAATTTGAGGGTCTGAAAGTTGGTAAAAAAACCGTTCATAACTTCATGGTTAACGAGTGCGCGTTGTCCTTTAAAAAAGCATATTTTTACCCTGCTGAGAGAAATTCAAACGAGAAAATTCAGCAAAGATTCGAGTGGGTAACGAACTGGTCAAAAACAGATTTGGACTACCAGAGCAATTGCATTTTCATTGATGAGGCGGCTTTTCACGTCAATCTTAAGAGGACGATGGCTTGGTCAAAAAAAGGGGAGAGAGCCATAGTTGAGACGCCTGTAACGAGGGCACAAACGACAACCATTTTGGGTGCCATATCACCCCTCGGTGTAATCAATGTGAAAGTAAGAAGACCGTACCAGTCTACCTCAAAAAAGAGAAAGTTACAGGGAGCGTCATCTAAAGCTTCCGGGTCTTCTGCAATCAAAACAGTAGGCACCGTTACTGGTCATTATTTTAATTTCATCGCCAGTACCCTTGATGTGTTAGATAAACACGAGCAATTTAAAGGCTTCTACATTGTCATGGACAATGTTCCCATCCATAAAAATCTTGATATTCAACGATACATTATTAATCGCGGGTACGGATGCGTTTATCTCCCGCCCTATTCGCCTGAATTGAATCCAATCGAGCAGTTTTGGTCAGTGGTTAAAAGCAAACTGAAGAAAGAAAAACTCTTGGATAAGGAAACGCTTACTTCGAGAATAACCGACGCTTGCAACAGTGTTCTTTTCAGTGATTTACAGGGATTTTGCCGATATTCTGATTCAAAATGGCAAGTATGTTTTGATAAACTTCCACTTTAAATATGGCACACTTTGTGCCAAAATTTTTGTGCCATCAATAAAAAAATTATGTGCTAAACTAATAGAAATTTCTGAGCCAATCAAAAAATTAATGTGTGCCAAATGGGAAAAAAAAAGTGTGCCATTATTTTCGGAGAGTGTGCCATTTATTTTTACAAAAGGTGTATATAGTCTGGTGCTCACTTTTTAAGAACTTTTATCTTAAACCTCTATTTTTATTTTCTTCTATTACTTTTACTGAAACTTGCCAGTAACAGTGGTTATTGAGTGTAATTAAAGACAAGACGATGGTATTCTTAAGGACAGAGTCTTTAGATGATATCGAATGTGTAAAATTAACAGAGTAAATAAACTATTCCTTATGGATTGAATGAATTCAAAAGGATGATCTTATATACGAAGTTAGATAGATAATAAGTCGATATTCCGTTCAAAAAGAAAGGATGATAACAATATTATATTTGACAGAGTCACTTAAAGATGGTATTCCGTTATGGGGATGATATCTTTAAGAGTTAGGTTATAAATTAAACTATTCTTTAGGCTGTAAGCTTAAAGATGATCTTAATAAATAGACAATGGGGTTTGAAAGGAGGTATTCTTATGGCTTGACAGCTGTAAGATGATTCCGTGACAAAGAAGTGAGTTTTATATGAATTATTCCGTTTCCAAAGGAAAAGGATGATCTCGTATAAAGTAGTGAAGAAAAATAAAAGAAAAATAAAAGAAAATGAAATAAAAGTTTTAAGAAGTTGGGGTTGAGGGTTTTGGTTTTTAGATTTTGTTGGTTGTTTTAGTTGAGCTAAAAAGATTGCTGAAGTTTTTATTAAAGAGAGAAAAAAAAGGGGGTTATTTATATGAGTTTTAGTATTAGAGTTGAGGCTGATATTTGGTACGAAGAAACGGAGTCACGTTAGATCACCGGATCTTACACCGGGTGTGGATATCCCAAAAAGGCAACTTTACGGGTGTGGAATAAGTTTTTTGATGTTAATTACCGAAAGTTATGATAATAAAATTGTTATTTATTAAAATAGAAGTTGGAAAAAGAAAAAGAAAAGTTTTTTTTTTTACCAGCCTTAACACCAAATTCGGATAATTAAATCAAACTATTACTGCATCCATATTTATAATACATTTGGATTTTTGAACATGAAAGTTTAAATTAATTCTGCTACGTCATGTTACTATGGTTGCTGTAAAAAATTGGCTTAGTTGGGTATAGTGTGCAACACTGTTTCATTTTCTATGGTAAATGTGTTTGTTGGTTGTACAATTAAATAAAAGTCCAAAGCATTTTAATTGGAATTATTAGAGCATAAATAAAAAAAATGGTAAAGGGAAGAAAAGATTAAAATCAAGGGGAAATGCCATCTGTAGTCTTTCAAGGACCTTAACTTTAAAGTGACTACTATCGACATTTTAGCCGAACGAGCTTCGAGCGAGCATCGATCGAAGCTCGCTCGAACCCAAAAAAAGTGGCGCAAGCTCGAGTACAAAAACTCGGTTCGAGCTTCGTTCGAACTGGCGCAAGATCGGTGCAAGCTCGAAAAGTTCGAATACTAGTAGTGGATCAGCTGCCAATGATTAATTAAGAGATCATAAAAATAATATGAGCCAATCTATCATGATGATGAAAATTATATTCAACAAGAAATATGCTAAAAGCAACGACAGACACAAGTGGGTTTTGGAATATAAAACCGTTCTTTTTTCCAGAAGTACACGTTCTGTAGAAACAGTATAAGAGAAGAGTAAAAAAAAAAAAATGTCTGCAGATTGTAGTGTAGTAAATTGCTGATTTTCCTAAAGAAAAAAATTCCAACCCCTGAAAAAATAGAATTTTCAAAAATAGCTTTTTTTTTTTTTTTTTTTTTTTTTTTTTTTACGTGTTTCTGTTCCTTCAAATATACAGTCTACACTAGGAAATGAAACACGCTGACTGTCCAGAAAAAGTCACTAAAATCAAAATAATTGCTTTCTATACTATGAAAAAGCCACAAGCCGTTATACTCGATAAAATAGAAACAGGCCATACAGTAGATATGATTTTAAAATCGAGGGAAATATATCAATACTAATTGTTTATTTTATTTAAAGCAACCAGAAGAGCCAGGTTTTACGATGTCTATCAATGAAATCTTTATATCAGTCTTAAAGAAATTAGGAAGTAGTTGAAAGCTGTATTTTTAATACGTCTATAAATAATAACGTTACATGTTTTAAAATAAGCCGCTGTTCAAATTGATAGAATTTCAATGCATAATTGTTTTTTACTATCATTCACATGGCGGATTACTATTCATTTTAATATAAATATCCTCCTCTCCCCTCCCCTCCCCCTTTTTTTTTGCTTAAACTTTAACAATATGAGACTTTTTTTACCAATATTGACGTTTTGCTCGATTGTAAAGGCTATTCTTCAACCCACATTTAGAGACACTGGTTACAAAAATATCGCCTTTAGTGTGTCACCCGGTGGATCATCGCATCATAACTGGGTACTATCTATTATGGATTTACTTGGTCAACGCGGGCACAACACAACGTATTTAACAACGGTAAAGACCAATCTATTAAGAAAAAATGTATTGCGCCTAAACAAATATCTTTTTCTTTTCCAGACCGAAGAAACAAGATTTAGTAAATCTTATCACCATGTAAAGACTGTGGATATTGGACCGTCTGTTGTATTTGACCAGATGGCTTTATTGAAGGAGTTGAGTTCCGGAAAAAGTATGCTTCATGTGATGCCAAAAGTTATGAAAGCATGGTCTGGAAATCATGAAAGAGGTTTTTTTTTAAAAAAAAAAATTGTGATTACAGCAAAAAACATTTTCACTAAACTAATAATTGATAGATTATTTTACGCTGTTGAATTATTTTAAAAATCATCAAGTGGACTTAGTCTTGTGCGATTACTTTATGAATGCATGCGTAGATGCTGCTACCAGTTTTGGAATCCCATATATCATGACATGTGCTCTAGACCCATCTAAAGGTAATATATATATTATTTTGGTTTTTTGGCTTACATAAAATCATAAATAATAACAAATTTTTAAAAAGAGTCGGATGTTTCATACACAAATAGTGAATGGTATAATATGCATGATTTTACTACGGAACATCAAAGTTTTGCAACACGATTTTATTACAAGTTCATCTTCTCTTGGATTAACTTGTATAAAAATTACTCGTATTATGTGGATATGACTGCAAGACGAAAGGCAATTGGAATCACAACCAAATTGGAACCACCCAATAAAAAATGGAGACATTCGTTACGACTTGTAAATAATTTATTTGGATATATACCAGCTAGACCAATCGGATCTTTGGCAGAATATGTTGGTCCGATTATTCCACAAACCCACAGCCCTTTATCAGAGGAGCTGGAATATTTTTTGAATTCGCATCAACGTGTAGTCTATATCGCTTTTGGACAATTAGCCATACCCAAACAAGAAACGATCAAGCTAATTTTAATAGGTCTTTTAGAAAACTTGGAATCAGGATCAATCGATGGCTTTGTTTGGGCTACAGTACACGCTGCCGGAAATTTTCCTGCGTCCATCACAACAAGCTCAGGTATCAACTACAATATTGAGACTATGCTGAAGAATGAACATTCGTATGCCTATATGGTTACTTGGGCTCCTCAAACAGCTATTTTATTGCACCCTTCTACATGTGTATTTGTGTCACACGGTGGTTTAGGCTCATGGCATGAGTCCATGTACGCTGGTGTCCCAATGATTCTGTTTCCATTCTTTGCTGATCAACCCGGTAATGCTTTACTTATTGAGAGAAGTGGGTTAGGTGGTATTTTAAAGACGGACGCGACACAAACGGAATCTGTGGAATTATTTAGAAATATTATAGAGGATGTCAACGGTGAAATTAAAGCCAATGTGAAGCGAATGCAGGCGCTCACCCAAATTCACTCTAAACATGGTACAATGCGTGGTGCAGACCTGGTAGAAGAGGTGGCATATACGCATAAAAATGGTGTACTTCCTCATCGACAATCGCCTGCTGACCGCATGTCGGTTATAAAGTCGCATAACTTGGATCTTTACGGAGTATTGGGCATCATTTTAACAGCGGCTACTGTTATTATGACTAAAATTGGCGTGACAGCGTATGCACGTTTTATTTTATGCAAGAATAAAAATGACAAGATAAAGCTGTATTAAACTAGATCTTTACCGACACCACCACCACACATATATTGTCCGGATTCAACATACTCTACCAATGAAGTGTGTAAATAGTCAAAATGGTTTGTTATTGGACAATGTGCTTGTATGAAAGAATAATAAAAAAATAAAACGAATAATAAATGATCGGGTGTGAGTGTTCTATAAATGATGATGAGATGGTTTTAACTTAAGTTTTTGGAGAGAGAGGGGATCGATTAGGTACGGAGGCAATAATATCTGCCATATGTGACAAATTGTCATCTTGTTCAACAATAGCTTGTCTCAGTTTTGAGTTTGTCTCTTCTTGATGAATAGCTTCCATAGATTCTCTCGATACAGGTGGCAGGCGCTCATTCTCAATATCTGATCTTCTAGCTTCTTCAAATGTTGTAATTGCTATCATATAGTAAGTACCCTTTTACAAGCACAACCCCGTTTTTTCTCTTTTTCTTTTACCTTTCCGAATGCCTTCGGATCCTAACCCTAATGTACCCTTGGGTAATCTACCAGTACCAGATAAATTCTTCAACTCCATCACCAACTCTGAATTTTCACGAAGCACAGAAAACGTACGTGATATTTTACCGATGGCTAAAATTTTGTTCTTGATGATTTGGCGTCTTTGTTCGGGTGACATGTCGTTGTCAGGTACAATTATCACGGGTGTTTCAATGGCCTTTTCTTCGGGAGTTGCAGCTAATTCTTCTTGTGAGCATATATTCAATAGACCTAAAAGCATTGATGTGACTATATAAAGGAATGATCAACAACCATCTTTTTTTTTTACATCATGTCGAGTTTGCCTTTACTTTTTTCTCCAACGAATGGTAGACTCCAATTAAAGACGTTCATAAAATTGGGTAACCAATATGGATGAGGACTGGCGTTAAATTGTCGGATGTTTAGTACACTTTTATCATACCGAAGTACAGCTGCTTTGTTATTGTACACATCAATGTAGTTTGGTGCCGAAAAAATCGTCATGAGCGCAGGGAAGCCAGTTGACTTGTTCTTTCGATACATGCGATACCTACAGACAGATTTTCTTTCAGTTTTAACCAAAACTTTTATGTATATTCCCGCTGTTACCCGTTGGCTTGTGCTTCATGCGCACGGATGACTGATAAAAGATGATTTTTTTCCAAAAAGCTGCAGGCAGCACGATAACTATTGAACACAAATGAGTCAAGTGACTCCCTGCTATTTTTTTTCCTGGTGCTTTTACCTGTAGAAATATGAGCATCCACGTACATGATTATGTTCAAACTTTGGTCCTGCATCATTGTCAAATTCTTCAAAAGGATCTGACCAAAGTAAATCGCACATCAATCCACTTGTCGGAGTTTCCCTAAACCTATCAATCTAAAAAAGTGTTAATTTCATTCAATAAAAATTTTTAAGCAGTATATTTTTACATCTTCGATATCCTTTAATGTCTTTAATTCGGGAGAAAGACCGCCATGCACGCAAAGAAATTGATCGTTCACAACAGCTGCTAAAGGAAGACTATCAAAGCATTCCATAACCGCATTATAGACTTTTTCAGAATATTTGGTTTCGCCTTTAACCAATTCAAATTTTCTTTTTCAGTGAGAAAACTTTTTTTTTTTGACGTTCAAACAATACGGAACTTACATTCAAGTTTAAAAGTGAAATATTCTGTCAAGTGACGACATTCATGGTTACCACGTAACAAAAAGAAAGAATCTGGGTACCACATTTTATGAGCCCAAAGATAAAGAACGCACTAAAATACGAGTTAGTGTCGTTTCATTGATTTTTTTAGTTGGACCAAGAAGAGAGAGTGCGAGATTTTTACCTCAATTGAGAAATAACCTCGATCGACATAATCGCCTAAAAAGAGGTATCTGGTGTCAGCAGGATTTCCACCTACTTCTAATAACTTCAAAACGTCATAAAATTGGCCATGTACGTCACCGCAAATGGTGATAGGAGCAGGCATCCGTAAAAGATTAGGCTCCCCTCTCAAAATATCTCGTGTAGAAGTTAAAATATGTAATGCTTGTTCTTCTGTTAATCTTCCTTCTCTTCTTAAATGTTCTCTAAGAAATCCAAGGTTTGGACATCCAGGTCTTTCGTTGGACCAGAGTTCGGCATCGGTTGGTTTCTGGAATGCCGGTGGTTCCACACCTAATTCATAATTAATGTTATACAAAGGGAGCTGTCAAAAGACAAAAAAAAAAATCTCTGGTGATTTTTACTTTTACAAATACGATCTTTAGTATTAACAACGGTGCCATCTTCCATAGTGTGAATGGAAAGATCAGGAATATTGCTCATTTTTTTTTTTTTTTTTTTTTTTTTGATGAAATAAATTAGAGTAGAAAGAACAAAAGAAAAAAGATACGAGTTTAGAAAAATTGAATTAAAAAAAAAAAACTTTCCTCTAAACACCGATTAGAAGCTCCGGGCGTAACCCAAAGTTTTTACCGGGTACATCTTTTTGGCAACAGAATTGGTGTGCAGTTAAAAAAAATAAACATTGTCCTACATTGGCACATACTTTTGTCATAATTTCAAGCTGCAAACAAAACCTCAATCGGAAAAAACAAACACAGTGGCTCTCCCTGAAATACAGCGATATTAGAGCAATTTTGATCTTTTTTTTTTATGTAAGTTGGATGGAAATGTCACATGTGTTCACGTGCTCAGATCCAATATGTGTGAGTAAAAGGGACATGTTCCTGAATTCCTCTCCCTCTCCCTCTCTCCTTCTTTACCAAGTTAAATGTCTGAAACAACTGTCACCTACACAGCGTTTCGAGGTCTCTTCAGCGTTATTTCGCACATATTTTTCCGCGAGATCAAAACAAGCGATGCGCATCTTGTCCCGACATCAGGACCTTGTATATTCATTGTAGGCCCTCATGCCAATCAGTTTGTTGACGGTGTTGTCTTTATGAGCAAATGTCCACGACCTTCATATGCACTCATGGCAGCCGTTTCTTACGATAAACCATTGATTGGTCATGTCGGTAAAATCCTAAACGCTAGTAAGATATACAGTCATTATTTTTATTAAACCAAAAAAACTAAAATACAGCACAATTTTAGTTCCTGTTGTACGACCTCAGGATATTGTCAATAAAGGCACCGGCAAACTTTTCTACGACCCACATCATCCATTACAAGTGAGAGGCGAGAATACACTTTTCCTATCCGAACTCGATGTTCGTGATTTTGTTATTTTTGGCAGAAATTACAAGGTTCATGTGGCCCGTGTTCTATCCGATACCTTGTTGGAAATCACACACGCCATTAACATCCCTCAAACTAATGACGGCTATACATTCAAAATCGCACCTCATGTGGATCAAACAGCCGTTTACGATGAAGTTTATCATCATCTCAACAACGGTGAATGTATCACCATATTTCCTGAAGGTGGAAGTCATGATCGTTCAGAGATGCTGCCTTTGAAAGCAGGTTTTGCCGTCATGGCTTTGGGAGCGGCTGCTGCAAACCCCCATTTAAATATCAAAATTGTGCCTGTCGGTATGTTATTTATGTTAAATTTTCTTATTTATGCAAAAACTAATTAAAAAAAACAATTAGGCCTCAACTATTTTCATCCTGATAGGTTTAGGTCTCGTGCTGTTGTATCCTTTGGTCAGCCACTCTCTATCGACCCTGTAGACATTGATAAATACAAGTTGGGAGGTAAAGACAAACGAGAAGCCGTAACAAAGCTTTTAGATCTGAGTGACGAAGCCTTTAAAACGGTTACTGTTAATGCACCCGACTATGATACCTTGATGGTTATTCAAGCCGCCAGACGCTTGTACGTAACTGATACAACAAAACCCACCATTGAGCAGGTGGTAAAGCTCAATAGCCACTTCGTTTCGTTATGGGCAAAACTGAAGGGCGATCCCAGCCTTGATATTATAGTGCGTAAAGTCAAATCGTACAACGATATGTTGACCTTCTTTGGCATCAGAGATCATCAAGTTGAAAAATTGAATGTTACACCGATAAAAGCGTCTATTTTGTTGGTGAAGCGAATAGCTAAATTAATTGCCATGGCTGGTCTTGGTACTCCCTCGTAAGTCTCTTTTTTGGACATTGCCTAAAAGAAAACAATTTAATCTCACACTTTCTATTACTAGATTAATATTAAATTTACCATTGATTTGGATAACAACGTATATCAGTAAAAAGAAACAAAAACGTAAGTAAATTTTACTTTGATGTAATAACCACAAAAAGATTCATAGCAGAGTTTTTTTTTTTTAGAGGCATTGGCTGGCTCCTCTGTAAAAATTGCTGGAAAAGACGTTTTGGCAACTTGGAAAGTCATTGTTGCTGCATTTGCTGCTCCCACACTTTACGCAGTATATGCATTAATCTATCTAGTCCATCTCACAAAGCGCTCTCCTTTATTATCTTTAAAATCTCGGTTACGCAAAGCCTCGCTTGTCTGGGCTATTCAACCCATTTTGCATTATTTGCTCTTAAGACTAGGTGATTCTGGTCTTGATATCTACAAGTAAGTAAAAAAAAAAAAAAAAAAAAAAAAAAAGGATATGTCAGAGGAAGAGAGAGAGAGAGAGACACTAACATTGTTTATGTGGTTAGATCAATCAAACCATTATTTTTGGCTATTAGAAACCCAGAAGCAGGCGGTATCATTCAAGCCATGCGAAAGGATTTATCGCAAGACATTACAAGGTTTATTACTGAGCATGCACCAGAGCTTGATTTGGATTACAGAAGTGGCAGTAGTGGTGAACATAGTCCTCGTACCAGTCATCTTAAATTATTGGAAAGTGATGAGGAAGTCAATCCATTGAGTGGTAAGATTTTTAAAGATTAATTTTTTTTTAAATGAATTGCTGAAACTCTTGAAAATGTATAGACGATGATACTTCACTTTTAAACGCTTCTATGTTGACATCGGATGATATGCCGGAATCTTTTATTGTGTCTCGACAAGAATCCGAAACAAGTTTTATAGATTATTCTACCGAAGATGAAGTGGGTGATTCAATTCATCATGTAGAACATATCCTGCTAGAACACTCTGAATTATAAATATATATATATATATATATAAAATACTTTATTTAAAACAGGAGGACCTTTCTTTTAATTTGCAGCCATCATTTCTTCTCGTTGCTCTTCTGTAGCTTCATTAAACGAATCTAGTAAGGGACTTAACATTAAATCGACATTTTCATATGCTACATTACAGCAGGTTGAAATCAAGCGCTTATAATCTTGATATTTCTTGGGTGGTATGCGTGCATGTAACTTCACAATATGATCCACATGCTCTTTTCGTGCCTTTTGTAAATCATGTAATTCTTTTCGTAACTGAGATTCGGTCTGTCGTAGATCTGCCAGTGAATACTGGTGTGGTGGAGACGGTGGTTTTTCTCCATTCTCCTTGTGATAATATTCCTCTAGCGCTTGCAGTGTCTTCTTTTGACTAAATTGAAGCCATTTCTTTAAGCGACGCTCCATTTCAGTACCTTCCTCTTCCGCTCTCCGAATGACCCCTTCTACTTGTTCATTATCTGTACCCAGTTGTATAGACTCTTGTACTCTACGTGTCTCTTCCAACCTTTTGGTGTAAAGATCCAATTCAATCTTTTTCTTTTGTAGCACCATTTCGCGCGTATTTAGATCTTTGTCGTAGCTTTTGGCAAAATTGTCAAACACCTCCGAGATGGGAGGGACTGTACCTGTATTACTAGTCACGACTTGAAACATGGCTTCAATTTTGTTACGTAGTATTTCACGTGTATCCATTTCAGTCATAATACTCTCACTATTTTCACTACTGGGCGAAGAAACGTTGGTGATAGGCGGTGAACCATGCGCTTCTAAGCTGGACGATGTGTTTTTCTCTATTTCGTGAAAGTAGTCTCTGGAAGTCATGCCTTCTTCATTGGAAATTTCTGTACTTGCACCTGCATCAATCAACATTTTGACCAGCCGCTTGTTTCCACTACGAGCAGCAATAGTGAGAGCTGTATCGCCATAGGCATCTTGTACGTTTAGGATGGAGATAAGTTCTGAGCGATTTGTGATCAGTTTGGCAATTAAGCATTCCATATAGTAGCGAGAAGCATGAATCTTGCCTCGCCAAGCTGAGGTAGTAGCGATATGATGAAATACCGTCTGATCTTTTTTATCGATATTAAATACGGTGGTACGTAGCAGTGTCAGTAAAGCATCAAATGTCTTGGACTCAAAGTTATTAGTGAAAAGCACGCTTCTCATTAAAGCTGTCTGTCCCTTATAATTGACGCGATACATATCCGCACCATTGTCAATCATGAGTTTAACAACCTTAATACGAGCCATGGCGGCAGCCCAATGCAAACTCGTATGTCCTTCATCATCGATAATCACATTAATATCCAAATCACGCGGTGGGTGTAGCAACAAGGAAGAAATTCCACTTTTGCTAGACATAAAATATTGCAACAATTTTTGTGCGTAGGGCTTCTCCGACATTTCGTAGTCGGGGATACTGTCGCCTGACATGATATCATCTTCCTCTTCTTCTTTTTCTTTTTCTACAACCGCTGGTTCTTCCGTCTTTGTCGCCTGTTTTTCTCGTTTGCCACGTGTAGGACGTTTTCCTACATGAGAATGATTGCTATGATGATGGTTGTGATGGTGTTGGTCTTCAGGCTCAGTGTTGGCAGTGTTAGTAGTAGTAGTAGTAGTGGTGGTGGTGTGTGTGGGTTCTATCTCGAGATCAGATAGGTCTTCATCATAATGCTTGACTCGTTTTCGGGTACGTGTCTGTGTTTCACGCGCTTTTTTAGGTCGTGCTGAAGCCGCTGTAACATGCTTAGGTGCTAATGGTGGACTTTCATCCCCTTTTACAAATTCAAGAATGGGAGCCAAATCCTTATCTACTTCGTACATTACGGCCAAGGCCTTTCCACGTTCAAATGGGACCCAAGTGCCTGGTAACAAGAGACATGTATTAGGAGGGGGGCGTATAGAATAGAGTGAATTAAGTTTTACCTTGATATTTTCCATAGCCACCTTGAACTTTCTCATGTTGACCTGTTTGTACTTCTCGTTCTAGAATGCGTGTACGTTGAGGTTTATCAAAATCAGCTACTTTTAAAATTTGAGTGGCGTTCAAGTAAGAATCAGAACGTCTTCGCATAACAGCCACTCCTTTACATAGCATTTCGTACACAGGTACGCCTGAATAAGTTGCTTTAAATACTGATGAAAAATCGACCATTGTAGAAGAAAGAGAGAGAGAGAGATAAAGAGAGATAAAAATAAAACGCGCACCCCCCACAAAGGTTTTCCGCATACTAGCGGCTATTTAACTTTTTGCATTTTCATGTACAACACGTGAGGGTAGCAAAATGATGCAAAAAAAAAGAAAGACTTTTTCTTTTTCTTTTTTCTTTCTTTCTTTCAGAACAATTATCTTTTAATTTTTGCTGTTTCTAGATAATTATGTCTATACCTACAATGACACACGTAACACCGTTTGTTACGTATGGGAAACCTACAAAAGTGAAACTGGTGTTATTAGGTAAGCTTTTTGAGATACGTGTGACACAAGAACGAACCTAAAAAAAGAAAATGTGTTATGCTTTAATCAAGGTGAATCTGCGGTTGGTAAATCCAGCCTAGTATTAAGATTTGTTCATAAGCATTATACTGAGAATCGCAACGCAACGATAGGAGGTAAAACGATATGAAGGCACACACGGGGTTTCTATATTATTTATATTGTTTTCTCAGCGGCATTTTTAAGCCAAAAATGTCAACTGGAAGATCGAGTGATTAAATTCGAGATATGGGACACAGCAGGTCAAGAGAGATTCCATTCATTAGCTCCCATGTATTATCGTAACGCTCAATCAGCAATTGTTGTTTATGATTTAACACAATATGTATATGCATTCCCTACTACCCCTGCTTATGTGTGTGTCTAACTAACATCTCGATAATTATTTAGGCTTCCTATGACAGAGCGAAACAATGGGTGCAAGAATTGCATAAACAAGCAGGTCAAAATATCGTGATTGCACTAGTAGGTAATAAATTGGATTTGGCAGAGAGTAGACAGGTATCCACTGAAGAAGCTACAAACTATGCTGCTTCGCATAATTTATTATTCCATGAAACAAGTGCCAAAGATGCCATTCATGTAGATGACTTATTTAAATCCATTGGTAATACCATTTTTTTTTTTTATGTACACGAAAATTACTCATGTGTATTACTTGTAGGCCGTCGTATACCATTATCGCCAGTTCATGTTATAGAGGAAGTGCCCAAAATTGCTCCTATTGATCTAAACCAAGCCATTGACAAAAAGAGCAAGGCCTGTGCTTGTTGAGATACGTCACACAAACACACACATAGTTTTTTCCATATCTTTTTATTCCCCATTCATTCTTTTTTTTTTTTCTTTTCACTCTTCAATGTTTCAACAATTTAAAAATATATTCCCTAATGCTTCTCTACGTTCAATAACTGAGTCTGTTGGGTAAAACACATCTCCTTCCCCTTCTTTATCCTCTCCACCCAATGTTAAAAAAAAAGTGTCCTTGTGTAGACTTCCCGAAACAGAATGGAACAGAGGTGTTGAAAGGTAATTTTTTAAAGAACATGAACAACTTTGCTTGACTAAAACTGTTTTATCAGATTAGAAGCCCTCAAGACAGAATTTCAAAACTTGAACTCGATATTCGTCACTCGTCAAGATTCCAAGTAAAAGCTTGTCTGCCATTATAAATTAGAGTGAGGTTTGCTCACCTTTTATTATTCATGTTAGCACTAATAGTGAAACACCCTCAGAAACGACACCAGAAGCTTGTTCTATCACAGAGCTTGAAGCCACCGGCAAACTCATCCACAATTTACAAAATGGTTGGAATACCATACACAGCAATGCTCAATCCAATATCCATAAAGCAAAGGTAAGTCATTCACAAAGCCTTTCTCTTTTTCTTCTTCTTTCTTGCTTAACACATCGTGACTTGATAGACAGCAGATACTCTACTTAGACAACTCCAATCAACAGCCGAGATGCACGATACTGTGTGTGAACACATGGAGAATACACCATCCATCTTGCAAGCAATGCAAACCGACATGGTAGCCATTGAAAGCTCCGCTACTCAACTTTTGAAAGTCCTGCTTAAATTAGAACAGCAAATAGACGACATCTCCCTCGATTATGAGCGACAAGAGTTTCAAGCTTGGAAGGAAGCACAGGACCGTGCACTCGAAGGGGAGATGCAGCAAAAGAGACAGTTACTGCAACAAAAAGAGAGCCAATTAAAGCGCGAGTTTGAAGAATATGACAGGATCCAGAAACAGACAAAGCTCGAGTTGTACGAAGCGAATTTCAATGCTGAATTAGAGGATTATAAACGACGAAGAGAGACACAGGTTTCTTCACTCTATGCGCGTAAGATAAAGCACTGTCAGTTAAAATATATACATATACTAAACAAGGGGTTTTTTATATATGTATGAATAGAACATACAACGGAAACTGTGACAAGCTCATTAGATGGACTACAATTAGACGATAAAGGAAAAGATCTCGACAACTTTTTAGGGTCAGAGAAACCTAAGAAAAAGAAAAAGAAAAAGAAGACAAAGCCTATTGATTCGAGTGATGAAGAAGATGAAAGGCGAGTAGAGATTTTACAGGACGAAGACTACCAAGACTTTTAAATTTTTAGAAATAAATGGGGTTTTTATTTTGTTTATCGATTTTCCCAAAAGTGCATAAGCGTGCGATATTGAATTTCTTCACGTGTTAGCGATGGTGATAGGTATAACAAGCTGAAATAGTGCGCTTTGGCTGTTTCGGCAAGGGAAGTACATACGTTACTCGTGGTTGGGATAGAAAAGCATTGTCTCGTCAGTACGCCCAGCTCGGGGTAATATGTTGGGTTTGCTATTTTCCAGAAATTAATCAGAGCAAAGTTGTATCTTTTTGAAAATAAGAGCGACAGCATTGATGTGGGCATACATCCTATTGATCAAATGATTAAGTTTCTTTACTTATTGCGCTTTTTTTATTATTGTTGTTTACCTGTAGAATAAGTAGATTTATGGGTTTGAAGAAGGAAGCGTTGAATCTCTTGAAATTCTTGCATGTTATACTTCGGTTCAGTCGATACCACTTCGGGAGGCCCTTCATAGCCCAACTCACTATTTTCTACTAGTGCAAGCTTCCAGTTATTCCTAATATCTAATTAGCCCTCTGATCCTGCCTGTTCGTCCTATTTCTTTAACGTACCCTATATCTCGCTTCAATCTCTTATTCGGCGAAATATTGTCCTCCTTGCCTCTCTTAAGTGATACAGCTATTGTGTTTAACTCCGTCAACACATCTAGCATCTCTGAGGAAAGCTTTTGAATTACAGATGAAATATGGTCTTCATGCTGGAACGTTTTAAGCAATTCGATTACACTTGAATTATCCGGTTTCAAGTACTGTTGTTCTCGTCCTTTAAAGATATTGTACACAAAAGTATCCAAGAGTAACGCCTTGTAGAATGGATTGAAAGGGTTCGTCTGCATCAAAGTACGGTGGTATCGGCGTAAAAGTAAGTACATGGTATGGAGTTTGATTAGCATTTTACGATCACAGCTATTCCTGCCATAACAATTGTTGTGGAATAAGTCTTTAACATCCTTGCAACCATAACAACGTGCTACTTGATAGATACAGTCCATGATTTCATTACATATTATTAGCGTTTTATTGGCTGTGGGGTATTTGTATTCCCTATATTTTAAATGGGTTTAATATTTTTTTTTTTTTTTTTTTTTTTTTTTTTTGGAAAATAAGAATACAGGTGAATGATAAAACTTACAAAGCGTTGTCCAACCAGCTTAGTGAATCATCCAGGTTAGTTACCAAATGAAGGGTCCGCAAAATCTTGGTCATCTCATCCAGAGTCAATTTTTTCAGATTTGATGATCGACTTACTCGAGCAATTTCCTCCATAACAGGTGGAAATTCTGTCAAGAAATCCACAGGTTTTCTACAATTCTGATTGTACTCTTTTATACGTGGAATAGAATCTGGTGATAATACATTGGGACCGACTTCACTACAATAATAAAAATACTTTTTCAGTAGTTATACTTTCCCATCAAATTATTTATAACTTACTTGATGTATTTCAATGTGTTGCAGATTATGGATAAGGGTTCGAAATCTTTTTCGAAATCAAGGAGTAGACATTCTTTTATAGAAAGCAAAATTTGGTCAAGACATGGTAAGAATGCCGGTTTATCACTTGGACTTTCTTCTTGCTTTACAAACTTGTCGAGAAAATCGGCATCAGACAATGTAACTGTATAGGGTATATAATCGATTTCCAAACGTTGTATTGTTTCAAGAAACGTTGTTCTTATCCTTGCCTCGTGATCTATTATAGCATCGTCAGTAATACGTCTATTTTGCTTTTAATCAACACATTTACCAGTATTGGAATTAGGATCACGATCCAGTGAGTTTATCGAAAGAATTTGATCCTTTAATTCCCACGACTCATTCATATAAAAAACTGTGACAATCATCACCGTGTGTTTGGCATCATGGAACGAATGACACACATGGATCGAGTAAGCAACATGTCCCTTATCAATTAAGATCTGCTTGATGCGTTTTTGTTCCGCTTCAAATCGCTGATAGATCAATTTACGTGTGACCTCAACCGAAGGTACTATAACAGTCTGTTCATCCGATCCTTGTAGCTCCCTCACCAGCTTATTAAACGCTGGATTTTCCACTACCGTACTAGGCAATCCCGTCGATAAAATCATGTCCACTATCTTGTCTGTCATGCCTTGATCTAATTTTCGTTATTAGCATCTTTGTCAATGTTTTTTTTTTTCATTTATTATTTTACCGTCTTCAGACTCTCGTAAATCCATTGCATTTTTCAAGGTAAGTTGATGCACGAAGCTCAAATGTTGAATCAGCACTGCTCGGTTTAAAAAGGTATGTTTGCATCCATCGGCACGGTTTCTGCTGACATTACAATAATACCGTTTTTTCATAAAAAAAGCATACCCCAATTGAAAAGGCCAAATACCATCGCATGGTTGGGCAGGTAATGTACTCTGTGCCTCTGTGCCCGGCATAATATTCGCAGTAACAGCAGGAGCAGAACTTTCTTTACTTTCAGGTGAAGCTCGATCTCTCTCAATTGAGACACTATTTTCACGATCGTCTATTTTGGTAGTAGTAGGAATGGGTGTAACTGAAGCTTCCGGTGAAGCATATGATTGCCTTCCAGCTAATAACTTTGTATGGATGTTTTTTTGGTTTATCTTTTTGTCCGATACTTCTTTGGACGAGTTCATAAAGTGATGACCCAGGACTTTGTTAGAATCTCTGTCAGCTACTGTCATGTATTGTCCTGAATTCTCAAAGTAGGATTTATGGAGGAAGTTCGATAGAGCAGTCTCGTTCGAAAGGTGCTCTGCAACTTGGTGTAAAGAGACCCTCATTTGTTCGCCTGGTTGTTGGCCATATGGCACACCTGGATTATGTGGTGGAATCCCATTCGATTCATCAATGAACCTATACACAGCCGGTTGATGTTGTGGAGGGACCCTGTGTCCATGTTGCTGATGTTGTTGATATTGTTGCTGCTGATGTTTTTGTTGCTGATGTTGTTGTTGCTGATGTTGTTGCTGCTGGTATTGTTGTTGTTGATGTTGATGATGTTGTTGTTGTTGTTGTTGTTGTTGTTGTTGTTGTTGTTGTTGTTGTTGTTGTTGTTGTTGTTGTTGTTGTTGTTGTTGCTGGCGCTGGTTTTGCTGCGTCAAGTGCTTTTGCGTCTGATACTGTTCTTGCTGCGGGTGGTATTGCTGCTGTTGTTGTTGTTTTTGCTGCCACTGACCTGCTTGTGAATGATTCTGGCGAGCAAACGTTTCATGAGAATAAGTTTGTAATTCAGCCGTGTTGGTATGTTGTAGACGGTGCATGGCCGATATTGTTTGGGGTTGGGAATCAGGCATATAGCCTCGTTTATAAAGATCAATGTTTTGAATGATTGGTAAAACTTGTTGCTGCGATGAATAACTCTGGAAAGACTCTTGTGGTGATGGAGTTTGTAGAGAAGTCTGTTGTGGTGAAACTTGACGGCCTTGAGATTGTCCAAAACTTAGTTTTGGCAAACTTATCGTGGTAGACTGTGGTGGTGAAGTTTGCATAACAGCTTGTGGTGGTGATTTTCGCATGACAACTTGTGGTGGTGAAGCTTGCATTACAACTTGTGGCGGTGGAGTTTGCGTAACAGTCTGTGGTGGTGGAGTTGGCATGGCAGTTTGTGGTGGTAAAGTTTGCGTCACAACTGGTGGTGATAAAGCATGTATAACAAATCGTGGTGTTGAAATTACTATACTGGCTTGTGGTGGTGGAGCTTTTATAGCAGCTTCTTGTAGCGGCGGAGCTTTTACAACAGCCTCTTGTGGCGGAGAAGCTTTTACAGCAGCCTCTTGTGGTAGTTTTTGAATAGTATCAGAAGAAGTCGGAGTTCCTGAATCAATTGTTTTGGGAGAATTTGAATGGATTTGTTTTTCAACTTCTTGAGCTTTCGTACTAAGTGTACTAAGGGTACTAGTCTTATCTTGTTGTTGTGAAGCTGGGATAGTTGTAGTAGCTTGCAGCGGTGATTGGTGTGCAGACAAAGACGCCTGTGGATCGGAAGGCTTCTCATGTACGGGGATAACGTTTTCATCTTTAGCAGACAAATTAAGCCGTTCTTTCTGTTGCTTCAATAATTCCATGGTGGCCTCAAAGGAGTTTGTAAGAGCTTCCTCATTGGTTAGTTTAGGTTGCACAGTAGAGGTTGACACTTTATCAGTGGAATCTTTACTGTTATTATGCTGCAATGGCGGGGTGACGGATTTGTCTTTCTTTGGTAATTGGTATTGAAACTTCAGATTATGGATAGATGTAAGATGTAACACCAAACTGTCCAGATCACCAAAGGAAGGTTCACATCTTTTGCTGGGATTAAATTGACAAAAGAAAGTGTTGGAATTTGATATGCAGTGTTTTTTCAAAATATTGCTATCAGCATCCGATAAAAAGCCTGGAGGTAAATCTAGTCCATCAAATTCTTCATCATCACTACTTACAGAGAAATCCATACTGACATTATCTGAGCAGACAACGAGTAATCGATCTGCAGCCAAAGCAGCTGCACTGACAGCTGCTACGGTGCTTGTAGAAGGAGGTGTGGTTGCCGAATTACTGCTAAAATACTGTTCGCCTTCACTATTGTCATTGTCGCTACCATTGTTGACAATAGACTTTAGGTATGAATCAAGACATTTCGCCAGCTCTTCAAAAGTATGTAAGGATTCTAACGGAGCAGTTGCTGGTGGCGGTGGTACTTGCTCTTCTGGCTCCGAATCACTACTGGAGTCATTTACAATGACTTTAGGAACTCGCCTTTTTGACTTGGGCATGTCGCTACAGAGAAAAAAAATGTAGGGAAAAAGAAGGGGGTTTTATTTTTATTTTTTTGACGCTTTTACTACACGTCACTTTGCTGTGACAAAAATAAATAAAAAAAAACTTTTTTTTACTCTGTTGTATTGTATCAAAATGTCGAAAAGGTTATTCTCTCAAGTGGCAAATAATGAAGAGGATTCAAAAGCAGCGATCCCGCTCAGTAAAATGCAACCGGACCTTGTTAATGGCATTCCTCTTTCAGGCGAAGATTACTTGCTTGTTGTTCGGTAAAACGAGCTAAAACTAAATAGTCATTCGTTAAACCTATGTTGACACACTTCTTTCTTTTTTTTTATAAGTCAGCAAGCAAAGCAATGTGCCAAAACTGTTGTGGCACCACCTCCCAAAGTAATCAAAAAAGTTCAGTTACCAGCTCACTTTCAGTTCTTTACGGAACAAGATAATAAAGAGGATCATGCGTCTGATCACTGGAGGAAAGGATATGCGGATCCTTTCAAATCCTACCAAAAGGTAAATTCATATATCCCACTGCTAAACCTTATTAAATGAAAAAAATAAAGCATATGCAAGCGACCAAGCCCAAACAAACGCATAAAGAAATCACAGCAATGAATGAAGCATTCATCTTGCTTTATTCTAATCCCGACCAAAAACTCATTATACCTACATTCTCCCAGGTACGCTCTTATTGTACATATACACTATGGTAACTCTAAATAGACATCATTATTTTCTATACATATAGCATTCTATATTAAGGCTACTTGAATACCATATCAATTGGCTCAAAACAAAAGATAACACGGACGAACAGGTACACCGCTTTTATTTTTATTTTTATTTATCTATCTTTACTGATACATTTGTAGTTTCCTTGTATATTCCAATTACTTGTATACCTGGATCCTGTGTTAACATCGAAAAACATGTCAGTCCTGAGAGACTTGTCAAGAGAATGCATACGTTTAAGATCTGATTCTACTTCTAAAGCGCCATTGAATATCATCATTTCCATTATTTCTGATGCCTTTGGTCAATCTGACCTCATTTGAATAAATGGTGTATTGTACAAACTAAGAAAAACCCGATTCCGGAAAAATAGATTGGATTCTGTTTGTTTTATGCAGAGAAATTCATGACTTTGTTTTTGATTAAATCTACTGTGATTGCATAAGCAAACGAGCCCGCCTTATAAATCAAGGGGTAATAAGGGAATTATAAACAGAAGGACCCTTCTTCTTATTAGTAAGACAACTGTTGGAATTTATAAGCCGATGCAATGAGGGGTGGATCTGATGAATCATCATTTTAGGAGAAACATCATTTTTATAAATACACCAAGACACAATTTATCAATTTTTGTTTTTTCTTCTTCTTCTTTTCTTATCTACTCATCATGATGAAAATCTTTCTTTTATTCCTGTGCTTACTATGGACACTTGTGTCTTCAGAAATTGTACCCACACCACACTACAGAACTCCAAAAAACATTGCATTTTCCTCACACGGAGGTGGCAGTAGTCATCACATATGGGTCATGGAAATTCTGAAGGAAATGAATCACCGAGGACACAACGTTTCGTTTTTTTCACGGGTAATTAATATAACATTAGAATAACACCCCCTTTCATTTCTTTTACTAATATTGCATCATCAAGGGCGATCAACTTCGCTTTGCAAACGGCTATCCGGTCAAGACACGTCAAGTGGGCGGCACAACAGATTTCTTACGCCATCCTTTAATCCTTGATCTTTTATCTACTCATCCAGATCATACAGTCATTTCTATGGGTGCTATGGAAGCCTGCATGATGAATTACCCCACAGGTAACTAGATGATTCTTTTTTTTTGTATAGAAATTCATGCTCGTCTTTCATCGATCTAGAATTCTTTGAGCTTCAGAATTTGTTTCAGTCGGAAAAAATCGATTTAGTCATATGTGACTCTTTTGCTATCAGCTGCATTGACACTGCCATAGTTTCCAAGATACCTGTCATGATCACATCTACCTTTGGTTTATTTGCAGGTACATAAGAAATGCATTTATAGCGTAAAAACTCCTTTTCTTATACAAGGAAATGTAACATTATAGATGACGATGCTACCTATATAAACAATAAGCTTTACAGTGAAGCAAGTCCTACAACACAAGATGAATCCATGTGGGCAAGGATTTACCGCGATTACATTAGTGTTCCACGCATTATGCGCACGCTTTCAAAACGTCTTGCCCACGTCCATGCCTTTCAACGCCAGCTGGGTCTCACACCGACATTTGATGCATCCACTGACCGGTACAACCACGTTCCTAAAATGGTCAATAATGTATTTGGTATCGAAGTTGCTCGAAGACATAGTCCCTTAGTGCATATGATTGGTCCCATTATCAAGGCCTCTTATCCGTCGTTGGATGCTATCTCTTCCGAATTTTTAAACCGACATAAAAAAGTGGCTTATATAGCCTTTGGTCAGCATGCAAGTCCCAGTGATAAAGACGTCAAGATGCTTATGCAAACCCTATTGAGATTGTTAGATGAAGGTCACATTGATGGTATCTTATGGGCTCGCTTAGATGTTCAACAGTTGCCACCATCTATGGAAATTTCTTCACATCCAGACATACTCTTAATGGACTGGGCTCCTCAATTTGCTATTCTGGAACATCCATCTACGGCTTTTTTCCTCACGCATGGTGGTGTAGGCTCACTTCATGAAGCCTTATTTAATGCTGTACGTTTATTTGTCTACCCATTTTTTGGTGATCAACCTACCAATGCTCGTGCCATTGAGCGTGTTGGTGTAGGCAAATACATGGACCTTTCAAACCCGACCTTCGACGATTCGTTTTACAAGACATTTTATCAAAAATTAGCTCAAGTAGCATCAGACCCGAACCATACACTCCAGACGAACGTAGATAGATATAGTGCCTATGTACAAGTAGCTGCATCCAATGCCGTAAAAAGAAGCGCAGATTTAATGGAAGAAAGTCTATTTGCGAGTGATGATCAGGGAAGGCTTTACTATCGTAATGATGTAGGATATGAAATTCATTGGTTGAAGAGAAATAATTTGGATGTTTATGCTGTCTTTGCTGTGCTGGCCATGGCGCTGTATAAGCTGGTTAATCTGGGCTTGCTTGAATGGAAACGACATTTTTTGACGGGCCAGAAAGTAAAGGTCACATAAAAATAAATTTATTAATAAATATACATCATGATCTGTTTTTGTTCCGATGAGTTTTTTTAGTGCCCATAACCAAATAAAAATGAGGGTGCGACCTTGATTTGACGGTTACAATAATTTATGAAGCCAAAGAGATTACTAACAGAAACTTATTTACATACTCTCTTCGGTCATAATTCGGTTTCGTTTAAGCTTTCTCTTAACCAGATCCCCCGAATTTAGTGGGTCAACCTTTCCAGATTAATATCACTTGGAGGAACCTTCAGGTTTTAAAAGGTTTATTGACGAACTACATATTTTTTTTTTCTGACTCAGGAAATTAGGTTCAGGCTTTTTATTTTCGTCCAATATTATTTTAGTGTCTCGAAAATATGATGTAAGGCCCATCAAAGCATGACATAATTTATTGGTTTCTTTTTCCTGTAAACTATCCAATATTATTATGCCTGTCCTTTCACATAGACAAAGTCTTATCAAAGCCACAAAAGAAATGCTGGCTTTCTGCATTACCAAGCATGAACAATTACATGAGTCCAACACTGTACATTCCAACGAATTCTTTTGGTCAAAACAGAATATTGATATCCTCGCGGCTTACTACCTAATCTTGACAAACCAAAGGTATAGTGTCAAGAAAACCTGGAGTACACGTCTTCATACCGGAACATTTCTTGACTTGCTACAGAAAGGCAAAGACGCTGTATTTATAAGCAAAATTCGAATGAGTAAAGACGCATTCAAGGAAGCTGTCAAAGTGTTTGGTGACTATAAAGAGTTCAAAAACTTTTCAAAAGAGAAAGTCGAGCTCCATTTTTTAATAACTTTTTATCGCTTGGGAAGTAAAGGAAGCGCTGCTTCAACTATGCAGGCTTCTGATTACTTTGGCGTTTCTGGTACAGTAAACAAATATGTGAAACTGCTCACTTTTTTTTTATCAGGTTACTGACATGCATTAAGTATAGATGGTACAGTAATCAATTACACAAAAAGAACAATCAGGGCAATCTTAGCCAAGGAAAACCAGTATGTTTACTGGCCAAACATGCAAGAACGGCAATATATTGCAGAAAAGATTAGCGAGAAAAGCCCTTTCCGTTCTTGTGTTGGATTTGTGGATGGCACGTTCATTAAATTGGAGCAGGTCCCAAGTTTCGAAAAGAATAGCTTTCAATCGTATGAAGGCGCATACGGTATCGCTACTGTGCTCGTATGTGACCACCAATGCAGAATTCGCTTCTGTGGCACGGGGGCTCCTGGAGCTATTCACGATGATAGCCTCTATCAAGAGTTTCGTCTGGCGAAATACCCTGAACGTCATTTCTCTTCTGGTGAGTATATCTTGGCTGATAGTGCATATAAGGCCTCTCCCACCGTTATTCCTTGCTACAAGACTGACTCGATCCAGGCTACAAGAGAAGAAATTGAGAGGTTTAATATAGAGGTCAACAAAACTCGGGTTCCAATTGAACATTGTAATGGAATCCTGAAAGGAAAATTCCAAAGTTTGCAGGACCTTCGAATTAGAATCAATAGCAGCGCATCGATAACTGAGGCAGGAATTTGGGTCCGGGCTTGCTGTGTCATGCATGATTTTCTTCTAGACGATTCAGTTGACATTGACGAGTACCAAGAAAGTTGTAGACAAGAAACTTCAGGCTACCCGGAAGACCAATCAAGGGACGATTCCACATCAAATTCTAGACGAAATCAACTAAAAAATGATTTGTCAAGAAACAATGCTTCAAACCAATAAACGTAGTTATTAATAATATAATCCTCGATGAAAATAACGAAGGAGTCAGCTGATTGAAGAAATTCGTATTGCAGAATACAAAAATGAGTTGGTCATTAGTAAAAGTGAGAATTAAGAGAGACTCCTTGAGCTCGAATTCAACGTGCTTTTATTATGACTAGCTATAAGTAACTTGCTGCTTAGGATTTTAAGAGCCAAAAACATCTAAAGACACAACTTTTGTAACTGTATCACTGTCTATCTTGCGAAAACATGTCATTAGAAACAAGCTCGTATGCTTCAACAATAAAGTCTTGACTGTTTTCATACGCCACTTTATTGAGGGTAAGGCCATTTGACGTAGAACTATTCACATTACAAAAGTCACCAGTAGCCCCAGCATCAGTCCTCTTTTATCGGCTGTTGTTGTCTAATAATTTAATCCCACCTTGTAGCATTAACGCCACACTATTCCCATTTTGGAGAAGACGAACGGACCACCTTGACTGATATGACGAAGCACTAAACCTTCCTTATCAAACATTGTAATAAAGCTTCATTTTAGCCTATATGGTATTAATTACGCGCTACACATGCACACGCATAATTGAATAAATTGTACACATTTATGGTCGACCCATAGGTACCGAAAAAAAAAAGAGACGTGGCAATCCCAAGCATAGTAGGAATTACTTTAATGGGGCTTGTTTTTAGTATGGTTGGTAAAATGAGGTATGTATTATACAAAAAAGAAAGTGATTCTCTCAGTTCCAAACATGATCACTATAAATATCATACTGATTAACTGGACCAATTACGAGAAGGTGGAAGCTATCTGGTCCAAAAATGTGAGAAAGGTGCGTACAAAACCTTTAGTATAAAAGACTAGACTTATGTACTTTATCCACCTAATGCTAACCGTCTGTAATAAAAGAAGCCTACAAAAAAACCTTACTCCAGAAGAAGAATAGTCAGAGCCAACATAACTATTTTCTATCTTAAAATGAGTCTGGCCACTTACAACATGTTAGGCCGTAGAACCTGCTAGTCCTATATCCCACAAGTTGTGTATGTGAGGCTGGGAAGCAATTGTTGTACTATACATCAAAATAAACTATGACCACCTCCGGGTGCAATTGATTCCCATCAACGACCTTTAATTACAGAAGAAACCCCCAGGATTACCAAAGAAGAGGAAACAAGACAGAGCTTGCTTTAAATAATCTTTTGAGCTCCCACTGAAGTAGACATTGTCTGAGCCAATCACATTGAAGTGCAGTAATTTTTCATGCAAACACTTCAGATAAAAAAAAGCATGTTGTGGGTTTTTTTTAAATATATATTTAGGCGGGCTATCTCATCTTACAGTATTGTTAATGTTAGAATCCGGTGCCAACACATTGGATAAAATGAATCGACACGAGGAATTTAAAACCACTACTTTGTCATGGACAATGCGTTCATTGTAAGCTGTTGTATTATTTATTTGTTGATGCAAATGTTGCATGTAAACTGTGCGTGCGCAAGGTGACACAAGATAGCTTAACTGCTGACTTGCATGAAAAGTCAAAAAGATTTATTATAGCATGAATTTTTTTGAAATAAAATACAGGCCTTTGCCTCCCAAGATAAACCAACCGCTTTGTGATCTATTATGTATTTGAATGTAAGCCCCAAGCTTATAAAATTACTGCCAAAAAGCTTTTGATTCTCATCTTTTAGTTGATTCTCATCTTTTAGATGATTCTCATCTTTTAGTTGATTCTCATCTTTTAGTTGATTCTCATCTTTTAGATGATTCTCATCTTTTGGTTGATTCTCATCTTTTAGTTGATTCTCATCTTTTAGTTGATTCTGATCTTTAAATTGATTTATATATTATTAGCTTTATTTGTCTACTGTTTTGTGTGAACTTTTAACAGACTCGGATCCAGTTTTTATCATTTCCAGAAATGGACTCGTATTGCACCATTATATATTCCTGGATTTGTCTTGCCAAAAAGTACATATCATATTTTCATGCATTATGCGTGTTTCAAATTTAAAATAGTTTCTTTTTAATTTATCAACACTTGAGATAAACAGTGCGGACGGAAACGCCCGTCCAATTGAAATATTTGTTAATTGATCAACTTCCATGAGATTCTGTAAAAAATGACTAATCATTTTAGATTGTTTTCATTTCATATATAAACAAAGTTCCAGAATCCAACTTCCTCCTCCCTTTTTTTTTTCCTTCAATTTTTAAAATTTTCTAGCAATCTACAATGCAATCTCTGGTAAGTTCGTATCTATCAAGTTTAATAGTATAAGGTATTCATGTCTTTTACCAGTTACTACCTTGGCTTATGGGTGGTATAACCCAGCACAGATGAGACTTTCGTGTCCCTCTAGAATATGGTAAGTGTATGGTTCATCATTTTTATTATCGTTTATTAACAACGCTTTCTTTCTTTTTTTATTTTTAAGGGCTTCTTCTTGTTGGGTTTGCCTTATGGCTACATTATCCCCGGCTCTCCATGGCCGGGGGGGGGGCGACGCCACCTCAAGTAAGTTCGTGTCTGTCAGGTTTATAGTCTTCAATATTAATGTCTTTTTACCAGACAGTTTTTCTTCTTTCGGCTCCGGCTGAAAAAAGGCAATCCGGCCGTTTCGCTGTTGTCCGTTTGGACTGTGGTAAGTGTATGATTCATTATTTTTATTTTTGTTAATTAACACTGTCTTTCTTTATTTTTAGGGGCTTCTTTTTGTTGGGGTTTCCTTATGGTGGGCTCCGCCTTTCCTCCTTCGTGGAGGAAAGGTTTAAAAATGGGTAAGTAATCCTCAACATAGTTCGTGTCTGTATTCAATATTAATGTCTTTTACCAGACTGTACGTCCTATGGTTTTCCTCTTCGTTGCCGGAGGGTTACACCCCTCCGGTCAACCACTACGAGGGTGGGGTTTTGTAAGTGTATGATTCATCGTTTCTATTATTGTCTATTAACAGCGCGTCTTTTTTAGTTTTGCGTCGTTTCCTTATCGGCGGGGGGGGGGGTTCTTCTTCTGCCGCTCCAGCCGCTCCTCCTCCTCGTCCCGCATCTCCGGGCTCTGCGGGTTCTTTTGTTTCGCTCGCTTCTCTCCCTCCCTTCCTTCGCTTCCGCCTCCTCCTCCCCCCGAACCTTCCTCCGGCCCTTCCTCTCCTCTCTCCGACCTGACACTGGCCAGTCCCCCTCCCACACCCTAATAAACGCTTTCCTTTCAATAAAAAACCTCTTTTGTTTCTTATCTTTTAAAGTAAAAAATTATATGTCCAAAATACTTTTGTCAGAGTAAAAATATTTATCAGAGCAACACTAATAGCGTATTTTATAATACGACCAAATAGATAAATTATGTAGACTATATTATAGTTGCAGATCTTTTAACACGCCCTTGGTAGTAGTAATATTTGTTTCTTTATTTGAATCATAGACCTAATTAAAAACTTCTATAGGTTTTGGAAGGTAAAATCTGGTATGTATTTTAATAGGTCTGGCTAATTTGGGCATGAGTCATAAAAAAAAATAACATGATTTCTCCAACTCCTTTACTGATATCCTTCTTTTTATATATTTGTATATGGAGACGGAGTCTCTGTGAAATAGTCACAATTGTGTTTTTGGGTTTTCTATTTTAAAGTTGGTGTTATAATTACAGTATATACTCAAGTTTGAAATTTAGAAAAAATAAAAGCAGTTTTAGCGGAAGCCTGAGCACCAGAAGGTCTTACCACTGAAGGGAGTATAAGTTGTCCTCAGAGAATATGGGAGGGGGAGAATGAGGGATGCCAGATTGAAGAAGTGCTTCATGTTGAGATTTTAAAATCTTTTTGGACGCGAGGGAGAGAGTGGAAGCAGTATTGAAAGGAGTGTCGTTAAAGACAAAAGCCCAATGGCCCAAACAACTTGATTAGAGAGTAGCAGAAAGAGCGAGAAGGCTAGATTCAGAAAGAAGTGGCATATTGGGCAGGAGGGTACAAAAAGTATGAAGCTAACACGCAAGATATCGGTCGACAAAGTGATGGAGGATAGAGAGATGTAGTAATCCCAGATATATTGCCAAACGGGCAGTTTGAAAGGACACTCAAACAAAAAATGATCAAGAGTTTCGGATGGATGTGAACATAATTGACAAACTGGTGTTGGGAAGTACGCTGACATAAATCTATGCAGAACAGATCTATGAGGAATTTTCTTATGAATATACCAATGCCAGACATTGCGGCAAGAATGTGATTAGGGGAGATTCCAAAATTTAAACCAATCCGTGGCTAGAGTGGGTGCAAATGGAGGGAAAAGAGAAGGATGGATAGGTGAGGCAGAACACCATTGACGGTAAATCTTCCAGGTTAACACGTCATGTAGAAAACCGGGAGGAGAAACAAACTGTAATACAAGTAGGAATAGTGTGATATCCACTACCCAGTGATCTAGAACAGGAGTATATCTGAAGACACGAAAAGAAGGGATAAACGAGCGAACAAAGAAGGACAGATGTGTAAGCTCGTCATTGGTCACCAAACGGAGGATTTGTCGAGATAAGGACGGGTAGATCGCGAAATCTGTTAAATGTTTAGGCCGTAAACAGTTTTCATTAGCTGAGTCAAGAGCATTAGATACGTAATTAGGCCATGATACCATAGATCGACGCAAAGTGGACAGCTGCGAATTAATTGTAATGAAAGTCATTGGAAGTTCTAAACAAGTAGCAGCGCTGATAACAACATCCGTGTCTGATTTAGGTAATCGATCAATGGCTTGGAAAAGTAGATATAGAGATCCAACAATGTTTTTGGCAGCAGGCGAACGAAATTGAGGGAATAGAAAATAAAACCTATGGTCAAGACCCTGAGGAGCGGTTGGAAATTGATTATCAGTTACAGATGTGGAGATTGGAGAGTAAAAAGAAGTCTATCAATCGAGGCAGTACAAAAGACTTAACATGTGGAGTAACAGAAGCAAATGTATCAGTTAGTGAAGACATGAGATTTTGTAGCTAACGCAGTTGTAATATTGATTTTTGTAAGACGGGATCAAATACACCTAAACCACCACAAGAGCGAACTGAACAGGATGATGCAAAGCTGATCTTAGGAAATATACGAAAGTTGATAAATTTCGAGATCACGGATTGCATAGACTTGATAAAGTACATTGGGACTGAGACCACGGAGGACATGCCAGAGTTTACTGAGTACCAGAGAGTTTAAGACCGTAGCTCTCGCCCCGAACAAATAAACCACGATGTTGGTGAATTTGGCAGGCTTTAGAAACCTTGTTCAAAATACCGTCAAGAAACAAGTTACGATGAGAAGTTGAGGTGTATAATGGAAAACCCTAATACACAACCGGGGCGGGGGATTGACAATCATGCCAGCTGGTGGTGTTGTAAGACAGTAATGCTGAACGCCAAAAACGAATTGTAGATAGAAGAAGCTCCATATGATGAGACAGCTCCAGTTTTATGAAAGTTGACTTTGGCGGTGGATGCACGTGCATAGAGAGACAGATGGGTTTGTAGGTGGGTCAGTTCACTAGTATCATTCAAAAGGCAGATAATATCGTCAGCATACGCAGGTAATTTGACCGGATCTAATGATGGATTGGTGACAGGAGAAGGTAATCTATACCCCCATTTTTCGGGAATCAAGTTGGATTTTACGAAGTAGAGGTCCAAAGGTTAAATTGAACAAAATAGGACTAAAAGGTTCACCTTGCTTTAAACCACGTCTTTGAGGAATACATTGTGACAAGAAACCATTTACGTTAATTTGTAAGTCAGTACTAAAGAAGAGACGATCAATATAATCTACCAAAGTGAGAGGGTATCCAAATCGGAGAAGTACGGCACGAAAGTAATCCGGATGGACACGATCATAAGCTTTTTCTTGATCCAAAAGTAAACCTATACCAGAAGATGAGGATATGCGAGCTTGTTCCATAACTAGCTTCATGAGGAGACCATTATCTGCGATGAAGCGACCTCTAACAAAACCCGTTTAGTAAGGATTGATAAGTTTGGAGGCCGTGATAATCATTCGGCTGCTAAGAATACGAGTGAAGACTTTAGCATCCGTATTGATCAAGGAGATTGGACGCCAATTTTTCAAAGTGTCAAAAGGCGGTCTTTTGGGTAGCAGAGTAACGCAAGAGAGCAGCCACGAGGGGGGAATATCAGCGAAACATAGAGCATTGTTGAGATACACCACTGTCTCGGTGACCATATTAATGAGGAAGACCAGTGAATGTAATCTTTCGAATATCGGGCCGAAGATAACAACGAGGGATAAGCTGAAAAGGAATCAGCGAAGGAAGGTAGAACAAAATTGGGATTTTCGACAAATTGTTTGTGCAAGAAGGGAGATACAGTAACTACTGCGTAAATATGACCATACTCCATGAGGAGTTGGTTAGCAGCTGCCCATAGATGCAAGTTACGCTTACCATATGCTTGAAATTCCTTCAAGAAAAGTTTCTTTTGGTCACTGACATTTGTAATGTCTATGAGAATAGAGTTTGTCACTGTGGCCTTGAGAAATGGGCGAGTGACTTTGCTCAAAGCAAGGTCAGTTGAAGACGAATTCTCGGTACGAAAAGGACGCTGTACAGGCTACCCTTCAGGCAGTTGATTAGTACTTGAAGTATGTCCTGTCATGTAGCTGGAGATTGTGGTAGATCCACCCGAGACTGCATGTACCCATGATTCCTTTGTTTGTGTAAAGTCAAGCGGACCTTGAAAGGTGCTATTTATTTTGAGTATTAGCGGGAAGAGCCGACAATAAAACCAGGTCGATGTAACATGGAAGAGGGAGGGGAATTTGAAATAATAAAAAAGAATGTGGGGAAAGAGAGAGGCACTAAAAGGGGAAAATATACATCCGAATATAAAGTGTCTTTTTATTACTGATTGTCAAAAAAAAAAAAAAAAAAGAAAAAAAAAACAAGAGTGTGTGTTATAAGAGAGTGTATGTTGTAAAGAAGAAGGATAAAAAAAAAAAGAAGATTGCTTTTTAATGACATAAACCACATGATAATTTGGACCAAAAACCTGATTTTTTTGGTTGATATTGTTGTTGTTGTTGTTGTTGTTGTTGCTGTTCAGGTTGTTGTCTTGAATTCACCTGTGCATGATGAGTATCCAATTTAGGTTGATCTTTGACAGCCTTTTTATTGTTATTGGCTTGTTGACGACCACTGCGTTTGGATAATGTCTGCCATCCCTTTCCACTATTGAGTAACATCCAGTCGTAAATATCATCGTCTTGTTCTCCTACTTTCTCAATAGCCTTGGAAAACAATCCACGCAAAAAGTCATAATCAGGAGTCTCCTCAAATCCTAATTTACGCACATATTGGAGGTATATACCGAATTCCTCTATTTAAAAAGAAAGTTAATAAAGAACAATGAAAATGTGGGTAACTAAGACAAACCTGGATAGCCTTCACAGAGGTCCTTGATGGCAGTGGTTTGTTTCTTTTCACCAATCTTTTCATACTTTTGCTTATTGGTAGCAGCCTTTAATCCCTGCCAGGGTAAGGAGCCTCTTAAGAAGTACATAAAGACATGACCCAGCGATTCGAGATCGTCACGACGAGATTGCTCTATGATGTTATGTTTCCGAAGATAGAAAAAAAAAGAGTGGTTATTTAAAAAAAAAATTAAGGTTGAATTATAAAACAACAAATATGGAGGAAATCAAAATATACCTCTTCCTAAATGGGTATTGATACTCATATAACGAGCAGTACCAGATAAACTCTTTCTTTCACGATAAGGAATATGTTGTTTTGTCTTGGGATCTCGATACAATTTCGCCATACCAAAATCCACAATGAATATTTGATTCTCTGTCTCTGTACCAGGTTTACCGATTAAAAAGTTGTCTGGTTTAATATCTCTGTAAATCAGATTTTTCTCGTGGATCGTTTGCACTCGAGTCAGCTTATATATAGAATGTTAATATATATATTTATATAAATAAAAAAGGGGGGGCCTGTAAATAATAGAACCTACCATCTGTTTAGCAAGCATAGCCGTGGTCTTGACGCTGAAATGTCTACCACAGGTATCAAACATGTCTTCCAGTGAAGGACCCAAAAGGTCAATCACCAAGATATTATGAAGCCCTTCCTGACCGAAATAATAAGCTGTAGGTATACCAACTACAATTATAGAAAAGAGGGAGAGTTGTTAGTGTCTTTCAGATAGATACACACAAACAAAAATAAAAAATAAAAAGGATCTTACTGGATCCAGCCATAATTTTGTAAGTTCGATATTCGTCTCGTAATTGAGGTGCGTCACTCTTTCTAGGCTCAAACTTGATGGCTACGGGTTGATTATTGAGCAAATTGATGCCTATCAAAAAGAAAAAAAAAGGGATGTTTAGTTGTTGGTGGTTATGCTAAAAGAGCTATCTTACCTTCATAGATAATGCCAAAACTTCCTTCTCCAATTTTCTTTCCCACCTTGTAATGAACACCGACAACGTTGTGTGAATTGCCTGGACTGGCTGCAGCGGCAGATGATGTAGGCATTGTGATGAGGATGTGTTTATTAAGTTTTTTGTTAAATTAAGTTGTATAAATTATTAAATATAGAGTTATTTTTTTTTTCTTCTGAAATAGTGTATGGTTTAAAGGAGAGTAGTATATGTATATATAAAAAAAAAGAGTACGGAAAAAAAAAATAAAGAGGAAAAGAAAGAGAGAAAAAAAAATTAAAAAAACAGTCAATTAATATATAGAGTAATAATAAAAAGGGAGATTTCCTAAAAAAGTAAAACCTCGGGCTTTAAGAAAGTAGTTCACCATCATAACCATTGGGATTTCTTTGAGTCCATCTCCACATGTCTTGACACATATCATCCATAGAGTAGGAGGGCGTCCAATTCAATTCTTTATAGGCCAGTGAAGCATCTGCTGTACAAGTGCCAACGTCACCAGGTCTTCTTTCTTCAATCTATATATCATATTTTTTTTTTTTTTAAATTAAGTTTCCTTTTATAACCAAAAAGACCATGTTGGAAATTACCTTGTAAGGGATTTTTTTATGTGTAGCTCTTTCCATAGCGTGTATAATTTCCAAGACAGAATAGCCAGCACCTGTCCCTAAATTATAGGCTTTACATCCGGGCTTCTCTTCCAACTTTTTGAGGGCAGCCAAATGCCCTGTGGCTAAATCACACACATGGATATAATCTCGTACTCCCGTACCATCCACGGTATCATAATCATTACCGTAGACATGGACAAATGGTAAATGCCCTTGTAAGACTTTGATTACGTAAGGCAATAAATTATTCGGTACACCATGAGGATGTTCTCCAATCATGCCAGATACATGCGCTCCCACCGGGTTAAAGTACCTAACAACACACATCCATATTAATGACATCATCCCTAGCAACGCAAAAAAAAATTAAAAAATTTACCGCAAGAGGACGACATTCCATTGAGGATCCGATGCATAAAGATCACCGAGTATTTCCTCCGCAAATAATTTGGTTTTACCGTATGGATTTGTGACTGGACCTAAACGAGCGGTCTCATTAACGGGCATCATTTCAGGTTCGCCATAAACGGTGGCACTGGAGGAAAACACCAGGTTCTTAATATTGTGCCTGTTCATGACACGCAACAGATTTAACGTGCCTGTTAAATTGTTATGATAGTATTCTAAAGGGATCCGGGTCGATTCACCCACCGCCTTGATTGCAGCAAAATGAAGGACGGCCCAAAACTGATATTCGACAAAAATCGCTTCCAGATCGGATTCCCGTGTAACATCGCCCTTGATAAAAATAATAGGTCGACCTGCCAACTGTTCCACACGATACAGTGCCTCTATTATAATAGACCGCAATGTAAATTATATAGTGTTATTATATGTTTGTATGCAAGGGTTCTTCTTTTTTTTTTCACCCTTACCTTTGTTCGAATTTACCATATTATCCATCACTACAATATCGAATCCATTCTTTAATAATTCAAGACAGGTATGACTACCGATATAACCAGCACCACCCGTCACTAAAATTCGCTTGTGGGGAGGCTGCACGTTCTTCTTATGGCTGGACCCATCCGAAGACGAAAGTCGACGACAAGGCATGAGAGGTTCATCAAACTGATGCCAAGCATCAATCGTATGTCGGCGTCGATGCAAGCTTTGTCTTTTAGAAGGCTTAAACCGAGCATTCCGTTGTTTCCCTTCGAGCACTTTTAACTGTTCTACTACAAGATCAGATGTTCCTGATTTACATACTCTAGGCATTTCTTTTAATAGGGTTTTTTTTTTAGTGTACAATGAGAGGAAAAAAAGAGAGAGAAAAGAAACTAAATTATCATAAAAAAAAAACTCTATTGTGGAAAAAATAAATTTTTAAGGTACGATGTCACACTTGTCCATTCAGGTCTTGTTTTTATACTTGGATATTATGCATACAGTTTTTCTGTTAAGGTTAAAAAGCTAAAAAAAAAATTTTTTTTTTACCACTGACAAACAAAAAAACAAGGTAATTAAATGTTACACGACAATTGATTAAAAGTTTATTGTCTTTTAGTAACAAATGGCTGCTGATGAGCACTATAATAACCGAGGGTAGTAGCTGACGACACAGGTCTCTTTGTCTGAATGATCATTGTCTCCTCAGGCATACGAAATACACGTGCATGCACCATTGAATCCAAATTAGCCTTCACATAATCATCGGGAATCAAACAAATGTATTTCTTTGCCACCTCCAATTTCCCTTGGGTTGCCATCCATTCGGCATACTGGCAATATTTCGCATACAAGGATTTCAATACATACTCTCCTCCCTTCTCCTTCGTTCTCTTATGAGGGTCCTCGAATTGAATGGCCTTTCGAAATAAGGTGATCTTTTCCACAAGCTCTTGTAATCGCACACCTTCTCCTCCATCCAATTGAGCAATCCAAATGGACGCCACTTTCTCTAAATCACCAGCCGCCAAATAAAATAAGGTGGCGTGCTCACGCAAATCAGTGCGCCTCATCAATCGGTCTCCCATGATCCCGCATAACCTTCCAAAATCTGTAGATTGAGCAAACGTACACAAGATCACAAGCACAGACGACCAATCCTTTTCATCCGCATCCCTCACAATACCCGTCAAATCATCTTGTACAATGCCTTCCAATAATCGAAGATACGCATGATGCTTGGATTGTTTGTTCAAATACGCTTTTTGTGTACGTGCTAGTAATTCACTACCGCCACACATGCCAAACATAAAGGCATCCGCAAATCGATCATGAGCAATACAAAGATCCACCGCTATTTCGAAATCGCCCAATACTACTGCCTGTGTTATACACCCATCCAAATCTGTTGTTGATGTAGTAGGAAAGAATTTAAACGGTTGTTGTGATGAAGGATCCTGTGCTTTAAAAAACGAGGCAGCCACCCCCTTTTGTCCCTCGCCACCGACAAATAAACTGGAAGATGTTTGAAACAAGGTAGTCTGCCCATGATCACTCTCCTGGGGGCTCTTTTTTGTATTTTTTCTTAGTATAGCCTCTGCAGCTTCCACTACCGTATCTCGATCAAACCCCAAATACGCAATTAAATGTTCGCGAGCGTTCTCTGAAAACAAGGGTAAAAGAATCTCCCAATCCACTTTATCTTGTCCTTGACTTTCTCGAATACGATCTTCAATAAAATGATGCACATTGTCTTCTTCCGTAGCTGATTCTAATTGCTCGGATCGTTTCATGATTTCTGGGTCTGTTTGGATCGTAGTCACTCGTACGCATTTCTTGTGAAATCGAGCTAATTTTCCACCTAGTCCAAACGTAGCTCCTACAGGACAACGACGCCATTTTGGTGGTGCTGCTGCTACAGTGGTAGAGTCCTCTATCGATACCACATTAATCTATCTTTCCAATCATCTTTTAGAAAAACAAACATATCACTACAATATACATTTAAAAAAAAAACTCACGGATCCGTTCATATTGGCATAGGCAAGTAAATGGGGTTGGCGTGGACACCAATCCACACGAAAACTCCATTTACTATCAGTAGCCACCTGTGATTGCAAAGTCCCCCATTGCGTATTCCAACATAGGGTTTGTCCGTCTTTTCCACTGGACACTAAAAGATCGGCATCGTGTCGACACCATGCTACATCCAGTATACCTTGTGTATGACCCCGAAAGGTCTTTTCCGGTGAATGTGCATGCCGTAAATCCCATAAGGATAACGTTGGGTTGATATCATCGCCTGAAGCAGTGACAATTTGTGTGGCCTATAAAAAATAAAATCACATGTTTGTAAAACAAACAAAAAAATAGATATAAATTCTCGCCCAAAAACACAAAGACTTACGATGTCAGGGTTCCAGGCAATGGAAGAGATGGAAGAAGAGGAAGGCAAGGTCATGACTTCTTTCTTGTTACGCAAATCCCACACGACGGTATAACCGTTGGTAGAAGCGGTAGAGAGGATATGTTGTACCTGACAGTTCCACTTGACACTGGTGATCTCATCCATCTTGGATGATTTTGTGCCTGGTGTGAACGGTGTACCCGGTTGATTTAAATCCCATATATATACCTACATATTTCCCATGTTAGTTTAATCTCTCATAAACTTATCCACATTACAAACCTCGCTGTGATTTCCGGCGGAGGCTAACAAGTTGGGTTGGAAAAAGTTGAAATCTAAAGAGGCGAGTTTTCCTGTATGCATGGATGTACGAAGTATCAGCGCCTCTGTGGCACTTTTTTATATAGTTTAGAAGTAAGAAAAGAAATACAAGGAAATAAAAAAAATAAAAAACTGTGTTTCTTTACCTCTTGGTGGAATCAAGCATAGTAGTGGCGTTCCAAAGTTCCAGTTCGTTCGTCTCCATACCACCAGCAATAACACCTTGACCCCAAGCTAATGTATTGAACCTAATCTTTTTCAACTTTTTAGTCATTTCACCACGGTGTGTGTGCGTGTGTGTTTGTGGGTTTTTTTTTTACCTGGAGGTGGTGCTGACTTTACAAAGGGAAGAAAGGTGGCCTCCACCAAAAGAAAGAATCTCGAGCTGAGAAGCACTAGAGAAATCAGGCGCCATGGCACCTGTTAATGTACCTGTCACCAGCATGGGTTCTCTTTCCCGACTCCAAGCTAAAGTTGCATTCATGCTATTTATTTTTCTCGTCATTATGTGGTAGCTTGTGCTTAGAGAAAAGAAGAAGGGAGTTGCGTGGGCAGGCCGTGGGCAGGCCGTGGGCAGGCCGTGGGCAGGTGGGATGACACACACGGACATTGAAAAATTAAAAATCACAAGGTGATCTGACCGTGGATTTACAGTGTGGTTCGAAACTCAATAAGAACACTCGCTTTTTTAAGCAGTAATCAAGTGATCTACATGAAAAATGTTGTCTATTTTCTAAAAAATGGAAAAAAAGTAAGTATGTGGTATTTATTAAAATTTAAAATCGTTGTGTATAAAAAGACAAGATGCATGTCTGCTTTCTTTTAATTTCTTTAAGAAAATACTCTATTTTTTTTTTGGGCTCGTAACAAATGGGTAAGCTTTTTTCTTGTATGTAAAAATAAAAAAAAAAGACTGAAAAATAAACTATTGTTCAAGACACAGGAGATGACATTTACATGCAGTTATGCAATAATAAAAAGGCCAAGAGGCTATACCCGGACCTGGCAAACAAGAGATTATCTCCCACTTTGGTGAATTCGGTCTCTATCTTGCACAACCCACATCAACACCAACGACAACAACCACTGGAAAATACTTTTTCCACCATGGCCCTGGATCAACCTTTCAAGTATGATGTTCCCTTGATAGGTACAGCTCCTCCTGTCCATGATTTTAATCAGCCCATACCCACACCCTCAATTCCTGCAAGCGTAAATATTGACATTTTTTATAAACAACAAACACGCTCACTCTTTTTTATTTAAAATTTTAGGCCTCCGTCACATCGTCCCTATATAGCCAATGCGATGCCATGTTTCAGAGATGTACCTTGAATAGTTTACCTTCTTCCGCCTATCTCTTAAAAAGGTCCAAACTACCTCTCTCCATCATGTTGGAGCCTTACCCACGAAACCAGCTAGAGAATGTAATACCCAATCAACACACACACACACACACATTTTTACACACGGTTGCTTATTTGTTTATTTTTTAAATTAGGTAGAAGTACCTTTAATCACAACTGGCGTTGTCAGCCGTTGCACAAGATGCAAATCATTCATCAATCCATTCATTCAATTCATCGAGGGTGGACTTAAATGGAAGTGTAATATTTGTACCTACAGCGACAACAATGGTAAGCTATTATTTCTAATAAAACAAATAGAGAGATAAAAAAACTCACTGTAAAAATGTATACAGTACCCCCAGCATATGATTGGGACCATGTGACACAACAAAAATCAGACCGTTGGAGTCGATCTGAATTGAATTACGGATGTGTAGACTATGTAGCAACACCCGAATTTATGTCAAGACCTCCTCAACCTCCAGTCTATGTCTTTGTGATTGATACCAGTTTAGAAGCTGTGCAGACCGGTATGATTGAAGTGCTTGCAGAGGCCTTGATGGGTTCCCTCGATCGCTTACCCAACGCTGAAGGAAGAACGCGCATTGCATTTATCACGGTCAATCATGCGATTGGATTCTATGCCTTGAGAAATAAGGAACCCGAGCTAATCGTGATGTCTGAAATTGACGATGTGTATTTACCCCGCGCGCATCATGATTTAGTGGTCAATTTAAATGAGGCAAGATCTGTTGTCTTGGATCTTTTGGATCGTTTAAAGACTATGTTTACAGTGAACCCACATACTTATGCTACCACACGGAACAACAATTGTCTCGGACCTGCACTCAAAGCCGCACGTCAACTCCTGGTAAGCTTCTTTTTCTTGTGCTATTTGATATCTTCATATACTAACACATCAATAGACTCCAACGGGTGGAAAAATTGTTTGCTTTCAAGCAAGTTTACCCAACATGGGCATCGGGGCACTGACAGCACCTACCAAAAAAGGTCATGGGTTGGGGGATAATCTCTTGCTGGAACCCAAAAGTGATTTCTATCGATCCTTTTCCGAAGAATGTGCAAAATATCATGTGTGTACCGATATGTTTGTCTTTGGTAGTCAAAACATTGATCTTGCCACCCTCAGTAAGTCCATCTAGTGTTACACACTTATTATGTTATTTACACTACATGTATAGATGTGGTGCCGAGATTTACAGGTGGTCAAACACATTACTACCCGGGATTCAACGCACACAATAAAGGTGACCGAGAAAAACTCTTCTTTGAAATCAAGAAGCTGGTCAAAGAAGAAATCGGGTTAGAAGCTATTCTTCGTACCCGTTGCTCTCCCGGTCTCATCTGTAAGTCCTACCATGGCAACTTCTCTTTCCAGGAACCCGATATCTTTGTTTTACCCAATGTCCCACGCGATGCCAGTTACTGTGTGGATTTAGCTATCGAACGTGAATTACAGGGGGATTTAGCCTACATTCAAACATGCATGCTGTTTACCACAAGCTTTGGAGAACGTTGTATTCGTGTCATGACTACATGTATTCCCATCACACGAAAAATTACAGATGTGTTTTACGCAGCCGATCAAATCGCCTGCGCACGTTCCCTTGCCTACCAAGGTAAACTCTTTCTTTGTTTCTTTTATCAGTATTTTATAGTTTAACACGTACGGGAAAAAATCATTTTTTTAGCTATCGATAAAGCAGTGACGTTCAAAGTAAGAGATGGAAAGGAATACTTGATCCAAAAGACGGTGGCTGTATGCAGTGCCTACAGTAAAGAAATCATTGGTGTTACACCTTCCAAGAACATTCAATTAAACCTATGTCGATCGCTCTCTTTATTACCCGCCATGACACTTGCCCTGATCAAAAGCGTAAGCAGTGTACTGCATGAAACTCGAAACGGTTAAATATTGACAAACAACACATACTTTTTATAGGAAGCGTTTAATGATACGGGTGTAGTGCCACTAAATATGTCGAACCAGTCAGGACTGTTACTACGAACTTTACCGTTGAGTTTATGGCCGCGTTATGTTTACCCAAATCTCTATTCACTTCACAACATGCCAGTCCAAGTAAGTTTTTTTTATAGATATAATGTTAACCAAAGACTAAGCAAAACATTTAAGGCTGGAACGTTAGATAGAAACAACCACTGTATAATGCCTCCCCAATTAAACCTCTCTAGTGAACGATTAGACCGTCATGGATGCTACCTTGTTGAAAACGGTCATCGTATCCTGATCTGGATAGGACGAGAAGCAGTACCACAACTCTGTGAAGATTTACTCAACGTGTCACGTGTACAAGACGTACGCTCTGGTCAAGTCGCTTCTTTACCCGAACTTCAAAATGCGTTCTCGGAACGCGTGCATCGAATCATTTCCAAATTACGTACAGAGTCACGGCACAGTAATTTCTATCCTTCCCTGTATGTGGTGAAAGAAGAAGGGGATGTCATGTTACGTCATTGGTTCTTGACACACATGTTGGAAGATCGTCAACAGCCACCGCAAGGGTGTAGTCCCAGTATTCACAAATCCATTAATGCTACCACTAGTTATTTCCAATGGCTGAATTATATCAAGGACAAGATGTAGTATAAATAAATAAAATAATCTTTTTATGATATTTTAAAGTTTAAAGTCGGGAGGGGATAAAACAAGTTCGGGATAGTTAAGGTAACTAGGGTTCATCCAAGCAGCTCCATCCACAACCAAAATAGCTCCGGAGATGTAACTAGCGCCTTCCGAGAAAAGGAAGACGGTGCTTTGTGCGATATCTTGAACTTCTCCCATACGCTAATTTTTTTTAGAAAAAAAAAATTAATTCTCTCTCTCTAGCACACACACAAATCCTTTGCAATAACTTACTTGAATAGGAACACCAGTGACATCAAAAGCAGGACCAAGTTTTTCCATACCGACAGTAGAAGCCTAGATTGTGTTTATTTAGTCTTTCCTCTATAGACCTTTATTCCTTATTTATCCACTTACAATAGGTCCAGGAGCGATACCTTTTTATACACACACATAAAAATTTAATTAGTCATCCCAATCAATACCTTTTTGAATATCTTTAGCATTCTTACCATTGACGCCTACACATAAAAAAAAATTAGCATCTAGACTGGGAAACGATATATATGCCTTGTTTACTTACGAATACCATGAGGACCCAACTCTACAGCCCAATGCTTTGTCAAAGCCTACATATGGAAATAATTAAGACCCATCTATCCACACATACACAATAAAAAAAAAACTTACATCGACAGCTGCTTTGGCAGCACCAGCATGCTGTTGGAAGGGAGTACCTGTATAATGCAAGGTAGCTGTGACGTTAATGACGGCACCCTTGGAAGCCTTCAAATGTTCCACAGCGGCCTTGGTCAAATTGAAAGTACCGAGCAAATCAATCTCAATTACAGTCTTGAACGCATTGTAGGATAAGTGATCAAAGGAAGACAAAAAGTTACCGGCGGCACCATTGATCAAGAAATCAAGACGACCGAATTTCTCTACTGTAATCTTGATGGCGTTCTCAACGTCAGCAGGGTTACGAACGTCACCAGCAACAGCGCTTAAATTTTGGGTAGACGCATAAATAAAAAATGGTTGTATATCATCATAAAAAATTAAAAGGGAACTTACAAGACTTCACCACCGGTCTTAAGACTCATTTCCTTAGCTGCTTTCTCCAACTTATCCTTACTATAATTAAAATTAGCATTTTAAAAAAAAAATTAAAGGTAAGGAGATGACGATGTTACCTTCTGGAAAAGATGACAGCTTTGGCACCATGGCGAACCACAGCCTCAGTCATACCACGGCAGATACCACTACCACCGCCAGAGCAGAATAAAACTTTGCCTGCAAAGATGTTATCCTTGAAAATTGTTGTAGTTTCGACAGCAGGAGCCATAATTTTTTAAAAGAGAATAAAAGTGAATAAATTAAAAAAAAAAAAAAAAAGTGGGGAAATTATATATATAAGCATTATCACGTGAAAAATAGTTTCAATGACATATACGAGATTCGCTAGAAGTGTTCCAATTCACATTGGGGGTATATTGGGGGGGGAACTCTATTAAAAAAACGGCCAATTCTCGCTCTATTTGGTATTAGAAAAACCATTCATCCGGTGTGTGTAGTGTGTGAAATCCTTACATTGTTAGCCAGTTAAATCATTCCATATTACATAATTCTTATTTACCTTTTTTTCTTCAGTCACACCTTTTCTGCATAAAAACAAACAGGTACAATTATCTCGTCTTGTAGGTTCATCCTATCAATTAACATTGTCTTTGAAATGAGCTATTCTAATTAAGTGATTGATTAGTATATGCTCATAAACATGGTAAAAAAATAAAAGGAACAGATAAGCTCACCTCATTGTCTGCCGGGCTTTAATCCTTCGTCTTAATCAATCAGCAGCATAAGTTACTGCATGTTTGTACCTAGTTCTGATTAGAAATGAAGCCTAATTTTTTCTTTGGACAAGTTTTCGAATCCTTAAAATTCACCAAATACTTTGAAAGCTTCCTTGAGTGCTTCTTTACTCATTTGGATTCTGCTTTTTATTAAGAGCCTCTTTGACTTCCTATAACAAGGACGTGTACTCCAATTTTTCTTGACGCTATTAACTTTGTGTTTATAAGATTAGGCAGTAAACCGCGATAGTATGGATAGTCTGTTTTGGCATTAATAACTGATTGGAATGTACCATAACTCAATTCCCAAAAAGTTGATATACTCAAGGTCAAAATGCTGGTCAATGAGCAAAAAGACCCATCCCAATAATATTGTGAAAGCTGCATTGTGATTATCCTCGCTGGTATTCCTGGTATCACTTATAATGATCTTTGGATATGACAACCAGTGAAATTTATCTATTTTATGCGTTTGGTATCGGTATAGCTCAATGATATTTAAATATTTTGTGTCTGTCTTCTATTGTAAATGTCTCGTATTTCATGTGAAGTAGATGGTTTACCCATATTAATTGTATTATAGTTTGATGATGTCTTGCTTTGAAGTTTTTAAATGGAAAGAGGTAATCTCCTCAACGCAATTTATAGCATCATTTCCTTCCTCATCAACCATTCTGCCTTGGCCTTCTTCATAATAAAAACGAGTGCTCTTACTTGTAATAAAAACGTCTCCAGATATCCTCGGGCTTATACCCAAGCATTTTGAATTTCATAGTTATCTATCAGCGTTTGAAGAGTAAAAAATATCAATAGTTTAGCATGATTTTATGAAAAAAAGAAGCGATCGCCCTATAAGTTTAGAAAAAGTTAACTAGCTGGAGCGACACGGTTGTAATATATACTTTTCCTTCCTTTTTAATACCGACGACGAGAGTGTTGCTGTGTGTTAGTTTATACCCGTCTTACCTTATCTGTCCACATTCAGGCGGTTGTCTCATTGGATCCAAATTCAATTTTAGACACAAGTTGTATGTATAATTTCGTTATTTACAGTTAAATTCATTAGTTACAAGATACCGCTCTTAGAAGGGAGGGGGAGTGTAAGAATAAAAAGGCAATAACATTATACATGCATATCTGGTATTAAAGTTGTGATGAATAGAGAGTTCACTAACACACAAACGCTTTTTATTTATCTATTTGTCAAGTAGTCGTAGCAAGGGCAAGTCATTATCATTTTGTAGTTTGTTTGCTAAGATATCGACCGATTGAATCATTGTATCTTGGAATACCAAGTATAAATTAGCCGCATGTATTATTGGTGTGATACAACAGAGAATTACTATTCACATATCACTGTACAATAAAGGTCGAGTTTACATATTATACGTCTTCAATTTTGGGATAAATAATTGATTTTATAAACTAAAAATAAGTTCCCTATGAAGAGATTAAGCTGTAGAAAGTGTCTCAAAAAATCAACGCTTTCGTTTTCGGTACGTTTGTTTATCTATTGGTCATATTATTTTGTTGTAAGATATGACTGACAGTCTGTAGAACGTTTCCTCAACCCTGTTGTTATGATGTTTTAAAAGAGATAGTCCCGCACATTAGCGGGATTATTAAAACTTTTCATGTCTCATTAGGGCACTTTTTGTCGCCAGTCATGTACATTTATATCTTACAACTACTAGCTATCCAAAGCTCATCAAATAAGGCTAATCGTAAACTCCAATTTATATATCTATAAATATATGGGGAAGGCCCACCACCATGTGGTAGAGCACAGATAATTACGGACATTGAAACGTTAAACTTTGTTTTACGGAACTATGTACTTGTCCCAGACTGTCAACATAAATATGCCACCAAGCAAAATGTAACATATAATTTTTAGTCAATAGGTATGATACAGTCCAAATCTACAGCAATATAAATAATTTTTTTTTAAATTTTCTTTATATTTTTCGACACTTTTGCAAAATATGGTCAACTAAATAATCAACTCAGCTTAACACAAGTATGACAAACAAATCCTTGTGTTGGTGAAACAGAATTTAATAATGTGATAAGGCCCACCTATGACAACGCCGTACATTCAGTCCTTGGCTCCTTGTTTTGGTTTGATTAGTTAGTTTATCCTTGTCTTCAAAGAATACAAGATAAATTTAATATATGTTAGCTTGAAGAAAACTGAAAACAAAATGAATTGTTTTAAGGAAGAAATGTGAGATTCTGAGAGCATTTATCACATTTTGAGAGACGTGTGTGGAACCAACTCGGATAGCTTCAGGTGCGACAAATGTTACAAAAATTAAGGTTCAAATCTAATTGGCTGACTTTCCATTTTCCGCCTTCAAATGCCAGAAATCTGTACGAGGAAGCACAGTAACACGCTTGACAACCCCTGAAATGTGATTGTAAAAAAGTATAAATTACAAACTTTGTTTTACACCCCTCTTCTGTTTTTCCACTTGACAAATCTTCCCCCACTTTAAATTTATTACAATAATGAGTGTCGCAAAGGTGCAAGATATGCTTCAAATGACAAGCACTCATATCTTGAATTTGTATGAACTTTATGTCTTACCCAACCTGAGCACCGTCAAGAACGACAAGAAAAAGTTGGCTTGTATCGGTTCTGCTATTGCCGCTACTTTGCTTTATAGCCTTTACAGAAAGATTTCTTTGCCTCCCGCCGGTATTCGCGCTATTCCTAGAGTCAACATTTTTACTTATATGGCATCCGTCCTTCGAGGTGATGATGCTCATTATCAGCTTAAGCACATGTATGCTCCTTTGATTGCTAAAGCAAACGGTGTATATGTGGTAATTTATAGGATTTTTTTTTAAAAAAAAGATGACAGGTCGCATGATGATTAACACTTTGACTTAGAGACCCAATCGTTGTGGTTGGTCCGTTTATGTCGCTGACCCTGCCGATATCAGATATGTCTATTCTAAAGCAGGTAATAATCACTAAATTTATTAGGATCCGTCTTGATATTTACCTTTTTTCGCTTTAGAAATTTTCCCCAAGGCACCAAACTCTATTGGTGAGCCCAACACTTTATTAAGTGCTATGATTCGTAGTCCTAGTATTGTCACCACAATTGGCGAGAGTTGGAAGGTTCACAAGAAGGTAAGATGTCGATTCAAAAAAAAAAGTGTAGATATTGACACAATATGATTCTATAAAATTAAAAAAGGCTGCTCATCCTGCTTTTTATCGTGCTATGCCCGTCAACCTCTTTGGAAGTTTAGTTCAACAAGTATTCGGTGAAATCGAGAAAGAAAACGGAACCATCAACATTTCTGGCTATGTTGAAAGATTTAGTTTTGATGCCATTACTGCTGCTGGATTTGGTAAGTTACACAACCAATTCGAAAAAAAAAGTGTGTGAGAGAAAGAGGGAACTTGGCGCTGATGTACTTTTTTTTTAAAAAAATTATCAGGCTACAATGCCAACGCAATTGGTGACAAGAACAGTGAATGGGTTGGTTATTATACTGCTTTATCCAAGGGAGCTTTCGATCCATTTTTCTTTTTGTTCCCCATCTTTGATACCACACTCCGATGGATGTTTCCCTCTCGTATGCACCTTCATAAGATTTTGGAAGTCTTTTTAGGAAAGATTACTCAAATTATTGTCGATAAGCGTGAGATGATTGCTAAAGGTGGTGCTAGTTCTTTGGGTGAAAATGAAAAGGATCTCTGTACATTAATGATTGAGGCTGAGGAAGGCGAAGGTGGTGTTTTAACAAATGCTGAAATGATGGTAGGATAACCTTCCTTTTATAAGTTGTCTTGTTACTCACATTGATTTTTTTTTTCATCAAATTAGAATGATCTTTTGACTTTTGTCTTTGCTGGACATGATACCACTGCAAACGCTATGGCATCTGCTATGTATTATCTTGCTACCCATAAAGTGAGTTTTTTCATTAAAGTGACGATCAAAATAATTTATACTGATTCATTTTGTTTTGACAGGACATTCAACAAAAACTTCGTGAGGAAGTCATTGAATTCTTGGGTGATGCTCCCGAAGATGTTATTCCTACCGTTGAACAAACAAAAACTATGACCTATTTAAACATGGTGATCAAAGAGGTAAATTGTGAAACTCTCACTATCCGTATAAGATGCTAATCTTCTCAATAGACTCTCCGTATTATGGGTCCTGCCGTGTGGGGTCACCCCCGTATTGCTGCTGAGGACACTGAACTTGGCGGATTTTCCATTCCTAAGGGTACAATTATTATCACTGACGTTATTGGTGTCCAACATGATGAAAGAATCTGGGAGGAGCCTTACAAATTTGACCCTGAGCGTTTCAACCCCGATATTGAGGACCCCACTAAGCGTACAACCAATGCTTGGTTCCCATTCGGTAGTGGCCAACGTCAATGTATTGGTTTGAACATGACTATGACCGAGCAACGTGTGGTTTTGGCCATGATGGTGAGAAAATACGAATTCTGTTTACCCAAGGACTCTATTCATAAGGATGGTATGATCATTGCAGGCATGGATCTTATCGGCCCTAAAGAACTTGTTCTCGATTTCACTAAGCGCTACTAGACAATTTATCATAATTGGCATCTATAATAATAATAATAAATATGTATACAATAAAAAAAAAATGGTAAAAATCTGCTTAAGATTAGTACCCCTGCTGTGTATATCTTATCGTAAATTGAATCCGTTTCACTTATTTAAAATAAGCATCCATGATTTTTTAAAGACTGATAGCAAAATTTGACTAACATCATTGGTTTAAGAAAACCTAGCAATTATTTGATTCCTCTCGTTTAAAATGAAAAAAAAAATCACGCAAGTTTGAAATGAAGATGACCGAGCTACTGCAGTCTGAACAATTGACTCATATTTTAGATACATGTCAAATCTTTATCCACTTGTGCCTGTATTAACACATATGGATGTTTCCCGCCTTTGTCTTCTACTTCTTATAGTATTTTTATAGTTTACAGCATATAGTAAGTATAGAAACATCCCCATCAATTACCCTTTGCGACGACTTTAATGACCTAGAGAAAACTGCAAGTCTTTTTACGTTACGGCTAAATCTAAGAGCATCCCCAGCAGTGGCGCTTAGAATCCGTTTTTCGGTTACATAAGCGCAAAATAGTAGTTTTTTCACCACCAGCAGTAGGCTTAAAGTTTTTATTTTTCTGAACGAAAATTAAAGATTTTGCTAAGGTCCGTTGAGAAAAAACAATCGGAACGAGAAATTGATACGATTGAAGTTGCACCACTTCTTATTTTTTCCATCTTTTCGGTCTATTTTTATGGTTAATTATGCGCCTTCTCCTGTTAAAACTATTGCTAATTTACCCTCCTAGCATTACCAAAGACAAACTGTTGAAAACAGTGCGGAAGAAAAAAAAAGGGGGGAGGGCTTTCATGCAAAAAAAATCTTGCCTCATTGGTCACATGCACGTCCTGTTTAAGTACCGCTCCGGGGCAAAAAGAAAGTCATGTCTTTTGCACCATAACCTTTTTGTCATTTAAAAATGGATTTTCAGTACAGCAACTATAATCATATTGTCAGTCTCGGTAATAAAAGTCTACTTTTTAAAAAGAAGAAAAAAAATTCGTCTGATACAAATTATTTAAAGATTTCGGCAATAGCTTTTCAGGGACCTGTTACGCCCTTACCGGAAATCTTTCCCCAAAAGAATTAAGAGAGCAGCCATACCCAAGCATTATTCACGTCACTAATTGGTACATAGAAAACAACTGTTATCTGCTTCTCTTTAACATTTAACTTAGGCCAAAACAAAAAGATTTGCAATACAAAACACCAACTATCAATGTGTACGATCGAAATTTCCACCTTCTCCACTGGGGGATGTCTGCATTTAACTTCATACAATCTGGTCAATTGACGGATGACCAGCAAATTGTAGAAAGATTCAAATATAACCTTCCAACATCTAATTCACAAACAGGAGCCTTTCTTCCAACCGGGACTACAAGTATAGAGCAGCTTTTAAATATGAGGGCTACGATAGATTATTTAAGGGAGACTTTTGATAGCACCCTAAACGCCATGCGAAATTCAAATTATAAAACTGCAAACGTAGACAGTATGGAAATGGTGAAAAAAAAAGTTCGTTTTGTCATCACTGTCCCAGGACAGTGGAATGACATTCAAAGAGAGTTGATGAGAATAATCGCTATTGAAGCAGGACTGATTTCCAAGGACGATTACGAAAAGCGCTTATTGATAATCAACGAATCTTTAGCCACTTCTTTATATTGTGAGTTAAAAACCAGACATCCAAAAGATAAAAGTTGACGAGTATAGAAAAGGCATTGTGCAGGAAATTCCAAAATACATAGTTTGTGACACTGGTGGTTCAACTGTCAGTATTGCTGTATTTGAATCAACCGAGAATGGTGACCAAAATAACGCTGATAGTCTTGGTAGATGTCAGCTTACTACAGAATTTAGCGTATATGGCGGATCAACATATCTAGATCTGAAAATGGAGGAGATTCTTTTGGACATTTGTTTTGGTGCAGATAAAGAAAATTGGGAAAATAACAAGTTGGAAAGACAAACGCTTGAGTCACTTATTGCACCTCTGACAAACAATTTTCTTGTAGATAAGGTAATTTTACAACCTCTTTACATTTTCAATTTCTAATAATCTTTGATCAGAAAAAATTTGGAGAAGCTAGAAAGGACTTTCTCCCTGATTGCTGTCGTAAATTACGAGAAATGTACTACAATGATTCCGACTGGGATAGCGACTGGGACATCGACAGTTCTCATGAAACAAATTTCTCTCAAGAGTACTGTGATTGTGGTTTTGATGATGGGCATGACGAACATTATGTGGAGCACGACAACTTTGGGGATGGTAATATTGTCGATACTACTATATAGAAATGTGTTTACGTATTTTTATATATATTTGTAGACACGATTTTTATAATTACCTTAGGTAGAATATTGGATAGAATGAAATTACGAAGAGGCCCTGACGGTGTAGTTCTTACAGACAAAGGTGTAACAGTCGAGGAGGATGATTATCAATGTGAAATTAAACTTAGTTACAAATATATGCGAGAACATGTTTTTGATGAGGTTATCGATAACACAATCGACCTTCTCAGAAGACAAATAAAGAAGGCTAATGGAAATATAACACACACTTATATGGTAGGGGGATTTGGTGGATCACCATATCTGTACAAGCGCATTCTAAATGAGTTTCCTGCTGACAGCGAAGTATCCGTTGGGAATTTGATCAAGGATGATAGAGGCGATACAGCAGCAATGCGAGGCGCCTTGATCTATGGCATCAACGAAAGCAGAAAAAATCCTAAATCATCTGTTGTAATATCTAAATACGAAGATGACAGCACTTCTCAGTATAACACCCTTGTCTGCTTGGGTAATATGGGCATAAACGTTGAGTGTAGGTATACGACTGACATCTTGTGATTTATTTGTAGATATCGGATACGATGGAGCAGCATGCTCCTATCGAGATTTGAGACACGATAGTGATGATATGACAGAAATAACGGATTGGTAAATAATTTGTACAAAGTTTCAATAGGAATTTAACACATGCATATAGGCCAGGTTCAAAAAAGAAAAGCTTTGTTATTCCCATTGCAAAAAAAAATCTGAACGGAAAAGCATTATGGGGAGCTCAAGTTGAACAAACGACCTACTCCAAACCAGCATTATTTATTACACCGAGCAAGCTTATGTCTTCCGTAAATGAGATTTTCAAGACATACCTGACTGAGTTTTTAGAACTCGTGTCTAATCATGTACATAGTGTAATTGCAAAAACAAACCCAGAACTTTCGGATAAGAGCAAGTATAGATATGTTATCACCATGGAGAACTGTTATCCATTCTTCAAACACAAGTCCGAAATGCGTTTAATTGCTCAAATGGCAGGCATTATCAACAAAGGAGATCCTGTAAAGAGATTGTTACTCATCCGCCGATAAAATGCTGCAGCCATGTATTTTGAAAAGACGGTTTTTACTAGAAAGAAGGCTGACAGCAATCATTTTCTTCAAATCAGTTTATATCATGATACCTGTCATCTGTCACTGCATGAATCATCCAAGATTATTGATTATGGCGCACCAGCAAACGAAACTAGTGGGTTTGGGGAAACGACTTCAGATATTTTTAGAAATGTTCGAAGTATGAGATCGGCCACATTTAAATTTAACTTCGTTTCCACGCTTGTCAGAAACTTGAACTTATTTGTATCTAATTCAGCCTGTTGTAAAGACCAGAAATCCCATGACACGACTGACTCGGGTTATATTTTGGAGCTTACAAGTAATTTTCTAGAATACGTAAAAGTTAGTAATTTAATGGATTTTCATATAAGGTTGGGCATTAACATCGTTATTTAGAACAAGTTAGATTTCAATAGTAATGAGGCTGAAATTATTGGAGTGACTAAATCACCAGGTTGTCAAATATCTATCACAAAATACGAAGTTCTGGAGCACATTTTTTGGCCTGCTATTCGAGAGTTAACTGCAGCAATTAAAAGTAATGGAATGCGACGTAACGTGTTTCGTCTATTCAACATCGACAAAATATTTTTATCGGGTACCCTTATAGAAGCGAAGAAAGAAACATACACCTTTCTTGAAAAGATAATTATAAAGAATTTGTCCGAGGTTATGAATGTTAAACAAGGCACCATCTCTTCTTCTGAAGCTAGTGGTATAGAAGCGCTTTTAGGTGCAGCCTACTATGGCAACCACCCTGAAAGTTTTACAGAGAGGATTTCTAGAAGGTCTTATGCTGTTCAGGTCTCTGGATTTAAACGACAAGCTTATAGAGGAGAAGATATCGAAAATCAAATTGAAGGGAGAAAAAAACATGAAAGATATTATATACAACATAGAAGCAACAAACGCTTATATTGATAAGAACAAGCCAGTCCAATTATATCATCAGTCTTACTGTAATCCATCCAACTCAGAAAATGAAGACTCCATCAGAACCCGCGACGATATAACATCTCTTATAAGTAAAGGTACTAAAATTTCGGAGCATAACCAAATGCATGGGATTTCAAAAAGATTTTATGTTGTAGAGGAGTGTATTGTTTATGTCAGTAAGTACTTTATTTAAGACTTGTGTTATAGCATTTTCACTAATTTTTGTATCGAATTGAAGCGATTTACTCCTCTGATGATCCTATTTTACCTAAAAATGGAACTAAACTTGATCTTACAAACTTTGACAAATTGCATCAATTCGAAATTTACATTAAACGCGATGAAGATGACCCGACAACTGTACTCCCTAATTCCCGTCTCCTTTTTGATGTGCGTCTCAAACCCGATAAGGAGAATTTCAAGTTCGAAGCCTTTGTTTGTTCAAAACTTGGAAACCCCGCTCCCGAATTCATTTTACCGGACGAGTTTTTAGTAACAAACATTTATGGCGATGAGTAAAGATTATCTGTAAATGGTTGGAAGAATAAAGAATTATCTTTGCGTTATTTTAATATTCAATTTAGCTAAGGGCACTATCACATTAACTAAATTAACTAGCAGAAGTAGAACTACGCTGCCAAAGTTTATCACAACGTGTAACGTCTGGCACACGTATTGATTTAAAAGATAGCCATATCGACACGCCTTGTCCGCATAATTTGTGCCAAACATTCGAAGAGCTCTATCTAGACATACTTAAAACCACTGTCTAATTGATATTCTTTTTACTAGTCTTGGGGTGGTCGGCAAACAATCGGATGTTCATGAGACTATCGTGTTTGCGGCTTTGCATAAAATAAATAAATATTCTCTTGTCTTCCGTGCATTAAGTCCATAAACGATGTAGGCGAAATAAATGTTTTAAATATCAACTTGCCATGAAGACAATTATCGAATTTACTGTTAAAATATCTATATAAAAAACCCCTAATAATCGTTGGTAGTCAAGCACCCTGTTACCGACCAGAGTGTTACTGATAAAGTTGCAATAATAGCTTAATGTTGACAGGCTTTTCTCTCACACAGTAACCCTTTATTTTTTAACTTGCGTCTGATCTCTCATTGATAGCTTCCATCGGTAGAAAACTTGTCAATGGGGACTACCTTACTTCGCATAATAATGAAGAACGTTAATCGTTGAAAAATTCAGATAAGCGTGTCGAACGAATTGAAAGTTTTTGTTTGTCTAGTTGTCCTATATTACAGTTTTCGTATAAAATATCAGTTCATAATTTCTTTTTATAAGAAATAGTGGCATGCAAGGAGTAAATGACTTTTTGAATAACCACCAATTGTATGCTACAAGTGGAGGCTGAAACAAATTTATAGTTTGTCTTGTGACCGTCATACCAAAGTATAAAAGAAATGCATTATCAGCTTTAATTTTTTTCTCTCTTTAACTTATTTCTAAAAACTTTAATATGGGTAATGTTATAAGCAAGAAATACACACGCCTTCGGGCCACAAAAGTTAAGGACACAACTCTTATGTTGTCTCCCCAAGTATCTTCCGCAGCACTTGATGCAAAAATTGAGTCTGTTACGAATGAAAGCTTTGGAACGGCCTCCAACTTAATAAAGTATATCGAACCAGTAGTCAGTTCCATTGATTCAGGTAATTTAAAAACACAAAAATCAAAGAAGTAGACACGTTTATTCATATATTTCCTCCCTTCTCACAAAAGAATCTGGAGACGGTTGGATCACCAAACGTCATCAATCTGATGCCAGCGTTACCATCAAACTCTGCGGCATCGCTCATATCCTCGGTCTTGATATTGATACAACAGGATTTAATGAGATGTGCCCTACACATGCTCTCGTAGAAGGTTACCAAGTGACTGATAAAGACACTAATGGCATGGTAATTATAAAAAATATATATTACATGACGCATAGTAATTGATCACACTTTTATAATAGTGGACCACTTTGATTGATTATGAACAACTTACTGAAGATGGTCATAATATCTTCCAAATCCACGATGAGGAGAACTACTCTCACGTCAGATTGACTGTCTGTCCTGGAGGTGGCATTGTAAGTACTTTTTTATGAAACAAAAAAAAAAATGAAACAACCACTGATATCATACTGATGTAATCATTACCTAGGCTCGCTTCCGTGTTTATGGTGAAATCAGTCCTGATTGGCCAGACCTTTCACAACAATATAATTTATCTTCAGCAAATGACGGTGCCCGAATCGTTCATTGGTCTGATTTAGAAAGCCGAAACAAGCCTAATGTCCTTTTGGATAATGGCGCTTTAACGTAAGCACATCTTCGCAAAAAAAAAAAAAAGGAGGGGAATAGCACTAAAAGTTTGATTATAGAACACAAGGCTGGTTAACACCACGCTCTAAAAGAACACCACGCAATGACTTCATTGTGATTAAATTATCCTCTCCTGGCAATCTTAATTCCATCCAAGTGGATACCACAGGATTTAAAGGAAATTCCCCATTGATGATTCAAGCCGATGGTTGTAACTCCAAGGAAACCAATCCCTGTAATAGTAAAAATACAAGATGGTCCTTATTAATTCCTGAATCACCAATCACCGATAACTGTGTGAACTCATTCCAAGTATCTGAGGTCACAACAGTCACACATGTCCGATTGACAGTAATCCCTGATGGTGGCATCCAACAAATCAAATGTATCGGATTTCCTCAACAAAATTACAGTAAGAAGGAAACACCTCGTAAAGTTAATACCAGTGTCCATGACACCCACTATTCCCAACCCACCGCCAGCCAATCAGGCATTCCTCACGAAATGCCTCTAACGTCACCTACTGCGGAGGAGTTTATATCTATCACAGATCCAGATCTTTACGAGGAATCGATCATTGAAGAATTGAATGGTAGCACCACCCAATTACTGATTCCCGCCAATGCAAGCAATACCCATGACCATATCACTGCCGAACACAAGGAGGAACTCGAGGTGAACGAGGCACCTCTTGTTGAGCAATTGAATATGACACAAATGCATTTTACACCACCTACTGCGGAGAATCTCATTCCAATCACAGATCCAGATCTCTATGAGAAAACGATCATTGAGGAATTAAATGGTAGCACTACCCAATTATTAATTCCCGCCAATGCAAGCACCGACCATGACCATATCACTGTTGAAGACAAGAGGGAACTCGAGGCAAGCGAGAAACCTCTTGTTGAACAATTAAACATGGCACAACTCCCCATCGCACCAGTCAGTGTTCAATCATCCCAAAACACTGTACACCCTCACAGCACTGGCAATTCTTACAACACTGAAGGTTTCCAAACCATTGTAAGTGAACAAACAATCATCGAGGAGACCACAACCATTATCGAAGAAATAGTAGAGCCTGAAGCCATGGACATTGAACCAGAAATACACGCTTTAAAGCGAAAGTCTTCTACCACCCGTTCCGAGCCCTCTGCCACCAAGAAAAGAGCAGTCTCATCAAGAGCTGTTTCACCAAGAGCCGCCTCTCTCAGGTCAGCAAGCAGAGGTACCACACCAAGGGCCACAACTCCCACTGCCACAACGCCAAGAGCCACAACGCCTGACTCTCCTAAGACTAAATCTAAACGAGATAATTTAGGATTGGTCACACCACCACCAGGTCCTGAATTGTCTCGTGCAAGATCTGCTGTCTGGAATGAGGCAGATGCCTTACCACCCGCAAGGAAGACCCGTCGTTCAAGAAAGAAATAGACGTGGTATAAAAAAATTTACAAGACAAAAAAAAAAAAAATAGTAAAATAGCATCATAGCAAAAATAGCAATAAAAAGTAATACAGTAACTCCGCCCCCAAAGTTCGCTTTCCAGCAAACTAAATTCGTTTTTGTGTGTTGAAGACCAAAGTTCGCTTTTTACAAAATCAATTTTCGTTTTTTATGGGACAAAATTCGTTTTTGAATCAGTTTAATTTTCGTACTTGCATCACTCAAAGTTCGCCTAGCTCATTTTCAATTATCGTTTTTCAAGCATGATTGTTTGTTAAAATGGTTATCTGTTGAGACATCTCCGAAAGTTATTAATAGATTGCTGAAAAATGCTGCAAAGAGTCTTTCTATTAGTCGATAAACAAATAAGCTTCTGCTATATTTTTAAGTGCAGTTTTTAAAGACATATGCAACACTCAAAATACTGTCTTTGCCTCTTCTCTTTACTGACCCTAAATCCTAATCAAATCAAAACTTCCCATTGTCACATTCACTTCTACGATAGAATCGCTTATATGACTGGAATCGCTTTTACGTGAATTCGCTTTTATGTGGATTCGCTTTTATGTGGATTCGCTTTTATGTGGATTCGCTCTTATAACTGGTAGTAATAGCAATACTTTGATTAATCACAATATACCAGCATATCATTTTTTAAAGTGATTTCAGGAAAAGATCACCCATCCTTTACTCCTCTTTTCTCCTGTTCCTCATCCTTTCTTTACGCATGTGATTATATACTAACCACTGATATGGACACGGTCATTCTTTTAGAATTGAAAATTGAACGCCGACTTGGAGAACACTTTTTCATCCCTCTTTTCTCGGTTTGTGTTTGCGATCGCCACATAGTCGTTATGTGCTATGGAGAAAGTATGGCGCTTTATACTTGCTTAGGGTTTTTTTGTTTCTCTGCATACTTACCTGACTATCTTTTGTAGGTTTGACCATCAATAAGGATGAAAAAAGTTTCACTTGTCCTATATGTCAATAAGGTATCATGGCAACACAATCATTCTGCTGTCATCTTAAACAACATAATCAAAATGCATCCCTTTATGAGGATTAGCACACCAACAAGTTTGCCAGCAGTTGCGTTGAGTTGTTTTCTAATAATAAACACTGTGTGGACGAAAAAGAGACAGATGGAAACGCAAATCAGCATTCAATTGGTAATAATGACAATATCGATAAAACCAACGATACTGATAACACGTTACTTTAGTAGGACGAGGAACAATCATAACATCTAACTTTTTGTGCTGTTTAAAAGTTGGTCAACAAGAAAAGACGCTATCACCTCCAAAGCTTACAGATGCCCTTGATCTACTTAAGCTCACATTTCATATGATACGTCTCAATCTTAGCTCTATTATAAAAAAGAGGTTTTGTATGCCTGTCAAGGATAGGATGCAACTGAAAGAGAAAAAAGCATTTTGCGGAAAGTATCTGGATCTTCTTATTTAACACCTATTGTCATCATTGATGCTGAAGGACATGAAGAGAATATCCTTGCTCATAACAGTGTTGTGTCAAGACTCTGTAACAACGAGAATAAAAGCCTGGCTCTCAAGAGAGCTAATAACCCTAAACGGTGCTATGACAGGACCCTTAAGTATGGTTTTTGCTACCCTTTATCTATATCTAAACAAACGAGTCAACTCGGAGTGTCATACGTATTGTCTTGTTGCCCCTTCAAGGTTTTGTAAGTTAGAATCTGGTTTCGAAAAGGGTTTTGATTTTTGCACAGCAAAAAATTACAATTTTTTTTATAACAAAAAGTTACGATTTTTTTGACAGCAAAATGTTATGATTTTGCACCTTAAGCAAGAATGACTAAAATCAGTTAATTTCGGAGCGCCTCGGTATTTACACATCACATCTACTAGGTATAATATTTGTTATGATGACAGACTTCGCAATTTCTTTTTATTTATAAAATAATTACATATACTACACTTTCTTTGTACACACTTCACTCATAAGCTCCTCTTTTTTTTTCAAACTCTACAGTTATTGTACAATAAGAGGACCAACTGTAAACGTATCCCAATCGTCAACGTTATTCATATCACCTAATAGCTTTAAAGCACTAACACGGATATGATATGTTCCGTTGGATACTTTAAACGTTTCAGTTACGCCAGATGTTTCTTCCGTGATACTTGATGTTGAGGAAAGATCGAGTGGCATATTAAAGTATTCGCCATCAAAGAATAATTGCTCCGGAGTACCCGGTACTGATACACCAACATATCGCTGAACTGGCCAGGCCTGTCCCAAGACTTGCTGACCCATCAAAAGCTCAGTCTTCATTACCATAGTAGGAACTGAAAGTACATACTGGACGCCAAGCAACCACGTACTGTTTTTAAGTACTATAGTATCTGTAATATTGTAAGTTACCGTTGGGTCACTTTGTAATGCTACTAGAAAATCTTTGCTGTTGACCTGAAATACGGGAATATCATTTTGACGACCGACAATACCAAAATAAGGAACATGCAAGGCCTTGGCACTTAAGGTGCTGGGATGGAACTGAATGTATCCACCATACATAATATGATCAAGAGGATCTGTCTTAGGTGGGTGAACAGTGACATTAACAGACCCGCTTTGGCCAGGGACTAAATAGAGCTCAGAAACAGAGAAATCAATTTGGGCAGCCTCATTTACATTGGGAGCAGGTGACAACAGTGTATAACCAGAAACGGCTCTATCATAAGGTACAATAGCTACAGATGCATTATTGTAAAGTCTATATGTAACAGCTTCCGAGCCATGATTTGTAATTGTGAGTGTCTGGGTCTTGTCAGTTGTAGAAGAAGAATCACGGAAACTGATTTGACCAGGCGTAACATGAGCAGCTTGTGTAATGGTATCGTAAACTAAAGGTTAAACATCAATTAGAAAAACTTGTCAGGTTACATATTTTTATGAATTTTTTTACCTTGAACGGCACCAGCACCAGAACGAAGGGGATTATCAAGGAGACCACTGGTTCTGTTATAGACATTTGGTTGAAACGCATAATTTTGGAACTTTTCATAGACGACCTGGGGTGCTATTTTGCCGACACCGTTTTGCTGAATAAACAATGCGATTGATCCAGCTACATACGGACAAGCCATTGAGGTACCTTGCATGAATTCGTAGGATCCTCGGTTGGTAGGCACTGTAGAGTAAAAAGCATGTCCAACAGCAGCAATATGAGGATTCAAGTTTAGGTCACCAGTAGGTCCTACAGATGAAAACCAAGAAGATGTTGTGGCATACTTTTCGTTCTTAAATAAGTATGAAGGAAGGTCTCTCGAGAACTTGATCATTGTATTGGTTGTCATGCCTTTGTAAATGGCAACAGCATTACTGTGCGAAATAATTACAAATGGAAGATAGGGGCTCATTTCTATACCCAATAGACGACTCTTTTCAGTTGTTTGATATACAATAGCTCCGACAGCACCGGCATCGTAAATATTCTTCAATTGTATTTCAAGATCACAAACAGCAAAACCAAGCATTACAACTTTCCCTTTTATGTTCAAATCAATGGTCTCACAGGCATGGACTACATTATCACTGGGAAGCGTAACAATACCATCGATCAAAGGTCTTATATCTTTAGCTTCAGTAGTATAGTTTTTAGGTATGTTACAAGCTATGTATAATAACCAATTGTTAAATATGTTTATATGTACAAAAATTTACGAATACTTACGAATGCGAGTAGATATTCCTTGGGCACTGAAAGAACAATCGAAGTAGTCATATTCATTATCCACAGAAGCAACCGAAAATGCACCTGGGCCAGTAGCAGGATGGCCAACAGTGTAAGCACCTTGATCTCCCTCATTACCAGCAGCAACAATTACTATTAAAAAATGGTTAAAAACATATTTCTTGCTGAAAGGACTCTTTTTTGCTTACCACTAATACCGCTGTCAACAATGTCTTTTAGTAAATTGCTTTCAATTGTTCCAGGTGCGGCCCATGGTTGAGGTGTTCCAAGACTCATACTAAGGATATGAACACCGGCTTCATGAGCCATTGTCATGGCTTTTAAGATAGCATCCGATGGCAATTCATCTGTACAGCTACCGACTCTCCAATGACCTAATCTTGCTCCTGGTGCAACACCTGTAAAATTCTAGTATAAAAGAGAAAATGGGTGTAAGTCATTGTTACAAATTGTATTTGTAGAGACGAACTTACAGTTAATGGATCGTAGCCACCAATGATTCCAGTAACATGGGTACCGTGACCTATAATAAGAAGTATTACTATTTTGTCTACAACTAAAGTATAAATAAACAAATCTACTTACCACTAGCTCCAGAACCTTCAGGGCATTGCTCAAGTGGTGTAGGACCTTCTTGGGGAACTGCATTAACATCACTTGCAGTATAATTATTTCCAACAAGATCGTAACCAGCTTCAATCTTAAACCCAGGACCAAAGCCTCCGCCTAATGCTGGATGCATGTAATCAACGCCTATTTTTTTTTTTATTATTCATTATTAGTAATGGATAGAGAGTGACACAATATTAACATACCTGTATCAATAATACCAACAAAAACACCTTCGCCTCTTAATTTAAGTTCGCTATGAACTCTTTCTACTTGTGAAAAACGATGAGGGGACATGAGATCAACGTCAGATGCGGATAGTTGGTTCTTGCTGGAATCAATCTGCCTAGACTTGTAAATTTGGATAGGGGATACAGATTGGACATCCATATGATCTAGGATTAACTTCAAGGTAGCATGCTCCTTCTCGATATTATCTTCTCTGATACCAATGGAAACAGCATTTAAAAATTTATGAGAGATGGTACGTTGAATATGTACATTATCCGAATGAGAATTGGTGAAATCAATAAAAGAATCTACGGTGGCATTGGGAGCTTTAACTAGTTCAACAATATACTTGCGAGTAGCTACATTAGCACCAGTAATGCTTCGCTTGAATTTGGGATGATTATAACTACTACCTAAAGTAGAGGTGACAAATATAGAGGCTACTAGTACTAAACATGCCCAAGTTTTTATCTGAATCATGAGCTATTACTTTGGAGATGTTATTCCTTGTTTTTTTTTGTCCAATTTGTTATTATAGATCGAAGTTTATATAGTATTTGTCCTGTTGTCATTCAAGATATAATGGCTGAGGTGGCAAATGCTCTTTATCCTATTAATGGAATTTGTGCACCCGCAATCCAAGCCGATATATGGTGTGACACAACTGGCCTTGCTTCGCCAAATGCCAAACCAACTACAGTAGCACCAACTTACTCAAAAAAAAAGCTTAGCAACAAGTAAATAAATGCATCACAACTGTTTGTAATTTGTTTGCAAACGATAGTTATGTAAAGTAGTTTTATATTCATATAATTTTACATGCACAAATTGAAAACTTTACTATTGTTTTGTAAAAAGAAAAAAAAATGTGTCATTCAACGTACCCATGTTACCGGAGCTGATGATGGTTTAGGAATTTATGGGCTTTGCAGAAAATAATATATATACCAAAACGATGTCTGGACAGCTCATGTATATTGGTGTATGTTTGCTGTGCTGAGTTTTTCCTCCTGTGATCTTCAACTATATTATAAAGTTTAAATAGAAGATTTAACTTGATCTTATTACTGCTAAATACATTAAAGTACGCAATAATTTTTAAAAAAACACTCGCACATTTTTTATCCCGAAGTTGAAAATCAATTGAGGTTTGGAGTCATAAATATATTCTGAGCTAATTAGATGTTGCTGCTACTTTTCTCTGACCATGTGCTGGAATTCGGTATCTACAATTGTTTTTTTCATAATTCCAATCGCATAAGGTGCAACTGACGCTACGATGAAAAACATTTGCTTTTTGCTTATTTATTTTTTTACACTCTATCATTGTTGAAATTAAAAAATTGAATTAGGGCACGTCGTTTTCTTAGACGATGGATTGATCGTAATAAGACCCGAAAAGGAACACAAAGAGCTTATGTTTCTATTGGATAAAACTGGATATACCCGCTTTGAATCACATGGTTCTAAATAATTGGTAGCAGCTGAACAAATAATGCCCGCAACCACCAGATCCGATAAAAACAATTAGCAACAGGAAAATCAACAATAGCATTTGAGGCAATGTACTAAGAAGGCAATCCAAAAGAAAAAGCTCTCGTAGCAAGGGAATACATGACAATAAATTGCTCATGTTGATTAATTAAATTGGCATCCATATTTGCAGTGCTGGCCGAGCGAAAAAGAAAATTAATTATAATTTTTGTTCCTATGATACACTTCAATTTAGACTCATATTTTATTTATAAACTAACTACATCAATTACAATTCCTTTGTACATTTCTTTTTCTCTACAGTTATTGTATAATAAGAGGACCAACTGTAAACGTATCCCAATCGTCAACGTTATTCATATCACCTAATAGCTTTAAAGCACTAACACGGATATGATATGTTCCGTTGGATACTTTAAACGTTTCAGTTACGCCAGATGTTTCTTCCGTGATACTTGATGTTGAGGAAAGATCGAGTGGGATATTAAAATATTCACCATCGAAGAATAATTGCTCCGGAGTACCCGGTACTGATACACCAACATATCGCTGAACTGGCCAGGCCTGTCCCAAAACTTGCTGACCCATTAAAAGTTCCGTTTTCATTACCATTGTAGGAAGCGAAAGCACATACTTCACGCCAACCGACCACGAACTGCCCCTGAGTACTATAGTATCTGTAATGTTGTAAGTTACAGTTGGGTCGCTTTCCAATGCTACTATAAAATCCTCGCTGTTGACTTGAAATATGGGAATATCATTTTGACGACCGACAATACCAAAATAAGGAACATGCAAGGCTTTGGCACCTAAGGTGCTAGGATGGAACTGAATGTATCCACCATACATAATATGATCAAGAGGATCTGTCTTAGGTGGGTGAACAGTGACATTAACAGACCCGCTTTGGCCAGGGACTAAATAGAGCTCAGAAACAGAGAAATCAATTTGGGCAGCCTCATTTACATTGGGAGCAGGTGACAACAGTGTATAACCAGAAATGGCTCTATCATAAGGTACAATAGCTACAGATGCATTGTTGTAAAGTCTATATGTAACAGCTTCCGAACCATGATTTGTAATTGTGAGTGTCTGGGTCTTGTCAATTGTAGTAGAAGAATCACGGAAACTAATTTGACCAGGCGTAACATGAGCAGCTTGTGTAATGGTATCGTAAACTAAAGGGTAAACATCGAGTTAGAAAAATACGTCAGGTTACATATTTTTATAATTTTTTTACCTTGAACGGCACCAGCACCAGAACGAAGTGGATTATCAAGGAAACCACTGGTTCTGTTATAAACATTTGGTTGAAACGCATAATTTTGGAACTTTTCATAGACGACCTGGGGTGCTATTTTGCCGACACCGTTTTGCTGAATAAACAATGCGATTGATCCAGCTACATACGGACAAGCCATTGAGGTACCTTGCATGAATTCGTAGGATCCTCGGTTTGTAGGCACTGTAGAGTAAAAAGCATGTCCAACAGCAGCAATATGAGGATTCAAGTTTAGGTCACCAGTAGGTCCTACAGATGAAAACCAAGAAGATGTTGTGGCATACTTTTCATTCTTAAATAAGTATGAAGGAAGATCTCTCGAGAACTTGATCATTGTATTGGTTGTCATGCCTTTGTAAATGGCAACAGCATTACTGTACGAAATAATTACAAATGGAAGATAAGGACTCATTGCAATTCCTGAGAGATGGCTCTTTTCAGTCGTTTCATATACGATAGCTCCGACAGCACCAGCATCGTAAATATTCTTCAATTGTATTTCAAGATCACAAACAGCAAAACCAAGCATTACAACTTTCCCTTTTATGTTCAAATCAATGGTCTCACAGGCATGGACTACATTATCACTGGGAAGCGTAACAATACCATCGATCAAACGTCTTTCATCTTTTACGCTAGTAGTAGCGTTTATAGGAAAATTACATGCTATGTATTCATTGTTAAATATGGGTGTACGAACAAAATGTTATCAGTACTTACGAATGCGAGTAGATATTCCTTGGGCACTAAAAGAACAATCGAAGTGGTCATATTCATTATCCACAGAAGCAACCGAAAATGCACCTGGGCCAGTAGCAGGTTGACCGACAGTGTAAGCACCTTGATCTCCCTCATTGCCAGCAGCAACAATTACTATTAAAAAATGGTTAAAGACATACTTCTTGCTTAAAGGACTCTTTTTTGCTTACCACTGATACCACTGTCAACAATGTCTTTTAGTAATTTGCTTTCAATTGTTCCAGGTGCGGCCCATGGTTGAGGTGTTCCAAGACTCATACTAAGGATATGAACACCGGCTTCATGAGCCATTGTCATGGCTTTTAAGATAGCATCCGATGGCAATTCATCTGTACAGCTACCGACTCTCCAATGACCTAATCTTGCTCCTGGTGCAACACCTGTAAAATTCTAGTATAAAAGAGAAAATGGGTGTAAGTCATTGTTACAAATTGTATTTGTAGAGACGAACTTACAGTTAATGGATCGTAGCCACCAATGATTCCAGTAACATGGGTACCGTGACCTATAATAAGAAGTATTACTATTTTGTCTACAACTAAAGTATAAATAAACAAATCTACTTACCACTAGCTCCAGAACCTTCAGGGCATTGCTCAAGTGGTGTAGGACCTTCTTGGGGAACTGCATTAACATCACTTGCAGTATAATTATTTCCAACAAGATCGTAACCAGCTTCAATCTTAAACCCAGGACCAAAGCCTCCACCTAATGCTGGATGCATATAATCAACACCTATTTTTTTTATTTTTATTATTAGTTATGGATAGAGAGTGACATAATATGAACATACCTGAATCAATAATACCAATAAAAACACCTTCGCCTCTTAATTTAAGTTCGCTATGAACTCGATCTACTTGTGAAAAACGATGAGGGGACATGAGATCAACGTCAGATGCGGATAGTTGGTTCTTGCTGGAATCAATCTGCCTAGACTTGTAAATTTGGATAGGGGATACAGATTGGACATCCATATGATCTAGGATTAGCTTCAAGGTAGCATGCTCCTTCTCGATATTATCTTCTCTGATACCAATGGAAACAGCATTTAAAAATTTGTGAGAGATGGTACGTTGAATATGTACATTATCCGAATGAGAATTGGTGAAATCAATAAAAGAATCTACGGTGGCATTGGGAGCTTTAACTAGTTCAACAATATACTTGCGAGTAGCTACATCAGCACCAGTAATGCTTCGCTTGAATTTGGGATGATTATAGCTACTACCTAAAGTAGAGGTGATAAATAGGGAAATCGCTAATACTAAACAAGCCGAAGTTTTTATCTGAATCATGAGCTATTACTTTGGAGATGTTATTCCTTGTTTTTTTTTTGTCCAATTTGTTATTATAGATCGAAGTTTATATAGTATTTGTCCTATTGTCATTAAAAATATAATGGCTGAGGTGGCACCCGCAGTCCAATCGGAAAAGTTTGGTGCGACACAACCGGTCTTACTTCGCCTACTGTCAAACCAACAACGGTAGTACCAACTTACCAGTAAAATCCAAGCTTAGCAACAAGTAAATAATTGCATTACATATGTTCACTATTTTTTTTGCAAACGATTTATACATATATACGTTTATACAAATGTAAGAGTTTTTAAAACTCATGTAATTTTATATACACAACTTTATAACTGTGCCATTGCTTAATAAAATGAGATATGTAGCATCCAACGTATCCGTCCTACCGGAGCTGGTAATGGATTAGGAATACAAGGGCTTTGCAGAAACAATATGTAGAATAAAACAGTGTGTGTATTCAATTCATTTGATTTTTTTTTTTCGCCGTGCTAATTTTTTGTTCTGTAATCATCAACTACATTGCAAAGTGTAGTTACAAGATTTAGGTTGATCTTATTACTGCTGGATACATAAAAAAAAAGGCACAAGTTTGAAAAAAAAATGATTTAAAAATCAAAAAGAAATCGAAATTTCGGGTCATAAATATATTTTGTGCTTAGCAGCTGTTGTTATTATTTTTCTAGAAACATATGCTGGCATTTGGTAGTTATAATAATTTTTCATATTTTAAGTCGCATAAAATACAGCTGGGAAAAATTTTCTTTTTGCTTTTTGCTTTCGGATTAGACATTTTAATGTAATTGAAATTAATGAATTTGAGGAAGGGTACGCCACTATTTCGTACGATTGATTGATCGTGATGTGATCCGGCATGAAACATGTGTTTCTATTGGATGAAGCTAAATATACTCGTCTTAGGTCACATGGCCAAAAAAAACTCAAGATGAACAAATAATAATCACGGCTATTTCATTTTGACAAAAAGTAGCAACAGAGAAGTAAGCAACAGCATTTAAAGCAATACACAAAAAGGTTTATCTTAACAAGCTCCCGTAGTAAGGGCATACACGGCAACAAATTGAACATATTGGTTATTTAAATTGACGTTGCTGACTGAAGGAAAAACGCTTTTCTTAGGGACAGCCAAATTTTCCTTAGGGACAGCCAAAGTGCACGTAGTCGCAACGTAAGATCTGTGATTTGGATGTTCTGTAGACCTGGGAACAAGGATATTCAATCAAAAACAATGTAACAATTACTATTAAACGATTTATACTTATTTTGGCAATTATATCATCACTCTTTCGCCTTTGAGCTCCTTTGATCATGATCTTACGCAGAAATATTAAGGTTAAGTCCAAACGAGAAGCTGAAAGTAAGCTGTAAAACACATATACTGGTTTAAACTATGTTGGTTGTAATAAATGTGTATATATTCCAAGTTGTTAAGTTATATTGACCTCTTGATGTCTATAAAAGTATCATAATATCAACATTACGACTACGCGCACCCTGGCTGTCCCTAAGAAAAATGGCTGTCCCTAAGAAAATTTGGCTGTCCCTAAGAGACCCGAAGGAAAAAAATTAAATACAACACTTATATTTATACAGCACATCAACTATAATCTATATACTATGACAGAATGGTTTTTATTTATAAGTTCACTACATAAATTACACATAATTTGTACACTTCGATGTTTTTTTTCAAACTCTTCACAATTATTTTACAATAAGGGGACCGATTGTAAACGTATCCCAGTCGTCAACGTTATCCATATCGCCTAATAACTTCAGAGCACTTACACGGATGTGATATGTTCCCTTGGATACTTTAAACTTTTCAATTGCGTTTGAAGCTTCTTCTGTAATACCTGCTTTTGAGGAAAGATCAAAAGGAGCATTAAAATATTCGCCACTCCAGAATAACTCTTCAGGAGTACCTGGCACTGTTACACCGTTATATCTATGGATTGGAGAAGCCTGTCCCAGGACTTTTTGACCCATTAAAAGCTCGAATTTAATCACCATAGTAGGAGCCAAAACCATATACTTCACGCCAACCGACCACGAGCTATCCTTGAGTACTATAGTATCTGTAATGTTATAAGTTACATCTGGGTCGCTTTCCAATGCTACTATAAAATCCTCGCTGTTGACTTGAAATATGGGAATATCATTTTGACGACCGACAATACCAAAATAAGGAACATGCAAAGCTTTGGCACTTACGATGCTGGGGTATAACTGAATGTATCCACCATACATTATATGGTCAAGAGAGTCTGTCTTAGGTGGGTGAACAGTGACACTAACAGACCCGCTTTGGCCAGGGTCTAAATGGAGCTCGGAAACAGAGAAATCAATTTGGGCAGCCTCATTTACATTGGGAGCAGGTGCCAACAGTTTATAACCAGAGTTGATTCTATCATAAGGTGCAATAGCTACAGATGCATTGTTGTAAAGTCTATATGTAACGGCTTCCGAACCATGATTTGTAATTGTGAGTGTCTGGGTCTTGTCAGTTGTAGAAGAAGAATCACGGAAACTGATTTGACCAGGCGTAACATGAGCAGCTTGTGTAATGGTATCGTAAACTAAAGGTTAAACATTAAATTAGAAAAACTTGTCAGGTTACATATTTTTATGAATTTTTTTACCTTGAACGGCACCAGCACCAGAACGAAGGGGATTATCAAGGAAACCACTGGTTCTGTTATAGACATTTGGTTGAAACGCATAATTTTGGAACTTTTCATAGACAACCTGGGGTGATGTCTTACCAACACCGTTTTGCTGAATAAACAATGCAACCGATCCAGCTACATATGGACAAGCCATTGATGTGCCTTGCTTAAATTCGTAAGATCCTCGGTTCACAGGAATTGTGGAGTAAAAAGCTTGTCCAACAGCAGCAATATGAGGGTTCATGTCCAAATCAGCGGTAGGCCCGACGGAGGTAAAATAAGAAGCTGTTGTTGCATACTTTTCATTTTTAAATAAGTACGAAGGAAGGTCTCTCGAGAACTTAATCATTGTGTTGGTTTTTATGCCTTTGAGAATTTCAATGGCATTACTGTACGAAATAAATACAAATGGAAGGTAGGAACTCATTGCAATTCCTGATAGATAGCTCTTTTCGGTAGGTCCATATACGATAGCTCCAACAGCACCAGCATCGTAAATATTCTTCATTTGTACTTCAAGCTCACAGTCAGCAAAACCAAGCATTACGACTTTCCCTTTTATGTTCAAATCAATGGCCTCACAGGCATGGTCGACATCTTTACCGGGAAGCGTAACAATACCATTGATCAAAGGTCTTGTATCCTTTGCATTAGTAGTTTCATTTGCGGGTAAATTACAGGCTATATATTATAACTGATTGTCAGATATGCGTGTCTGTGTGAAGTGTTATGAATACTTACGGATACGAGTAGAAATTCCTTGAGCACTGAAAGAACAATCGAAGTAATCATATTCATTATTAACAGAAGCAACTGAAAACGAACCTGGGGCAGTAGCGGGATGGCCAACAGTGTAAGCACCTTGATCTCCCTCATTACCAGCAGCAACAATCACTATCAAGAAATGATTAAGAACATACTTCTTGTTGACGGGACCCCCCCCCCTTATTTTTTTTTCTTTTTTTTTTTGCTTACCACTGATACCGCTGTCAACAATGTCTTTTACCAATTTGCTTTCAATTGTTCCAGGTGCAGCCCATGGTTGAGATGATCCAAGACTCATACTAAGGATATGAACACCGGCTTTATGAGCCAATGTCATGGCTTTTATGATAGCATCCGATGGCATATCATCCGTGCAACTACCAACCCTCCAATGGCCTAATCTTGCTCCTGGTGCAACACCTGTAAAGTTCTGTTATATATAAAGGGGGGATGTAAGTTGTTGGTACAAAGTAATTTTTTAAAAGAAACACTTACAGTTAAAGGATCGTAACCACCAATGATACCGGTAACATGGGTGCCATGGCCTATAGTAATAATTGTTACTGATTTGTTTACAATTTAAGGTGTACATAAACAAATAAAACTAACCAGTAGCTCCGGAACCCTCAGGGCATTGTTCAAGTGGTGTAGGACCCTCTTGAGGAACTGAGGTGACATTACTTGAAGAATAGTCATCTCCGACAAGATCACAACCAGCTTCAATCTTAAACCCAGGACCAAAGCCTCCGCCTAATGCTGGATGCATGTAATCAACACCTATTTTTTTATGTTTTTTATTAGTAACGGATAGAAAGTGACTTCTATGAACATACCTGTATCAATGATACCAATAAAAATACCTTCGCCTCTTAATTTAAGCTCGCTATGAACTCTTTCTACTTGTGAAAAACGATGAGGGGACATGAGATCCACGTCATGTGCAGATAATTGGCTCTTGCTAGAATCAATTGTACTAGACTTGTAAATTTGGATAGGAGAGACAGATTGGACATTCATATGATCCAGAATCAGCTTCAAGGTAGCATGCTCTTTCTCGATACTATCTTCCATGATGCCAATTGAAACAGCATTCAAAAATTCGTGAGAGATGGTACGTTGGATGTGTACATTATCCGAATGAGAATTAGTGAAATCAATAAATGATTCCACGGTAACGTTGGGAGCTTGAACCAATTCAACAATATACTTGCGGGCAGCTACATTAGCACCAGTAATGCTTCGCTTGAATTTAGGATGACTGTAGCTACTACCCAAAGTGGAGGTGACAAATAGCGAGATTGCTAGTATCAAACAAGCCGAAGATTTTATTTGAATCATGACCTTATGATTTGAAGTTGTTACTCTTTATTTTAATTTTTTTTTTGTAGTTCAAGTTTCTAAGCTTTTATATAGTATTTGCCTTGTTGTCATTGGAAACATAATAGCTGTGGCAAATAATGCTCTCTGACCTATTTATGGAATTCGTACACCCGTAATCCAAGCCTAGAAGTAAATAATGTGACACAATCGATCTTGCTTCGCCAACTGTCAAACCAATAATAGTGGTACCAACTTATCGGAAGAAACCAAGCTTGCCACCAAGTAATTGAGTGCATTACATATGTTTGTTATTTGTTTGCAAACGATATTTATGGACGATTTATGTGTACTTTTTTTTAAAAAAAAAGATTTGTAATTTTACATGCACAACTTAAAAACTTTGCCATTGTTTGTAATAAGAAATACATGTCATCCAACGTACTTGTGTTACCGGAGCTGATGATGGTTTAGGAATACAGGCTTTGCAGAGGGAAGTATATATCAAAACAATATATTTAATCGGTTCATATGTACTTGTGTGTGTTCAATGTGCCGGATTTCTCCTTCTGTAGTCATCAGCTAAATACTAAAAAGTTTAATTACAAGATTTAAGTTGATCTAATTGCTGCTTGGTATATTAAAATCTAGCACCAGTTTGGAAATATAATTTTATTCCAAAGTCATAAATTAACTCTGTAACGATAGTATACGCACGGATTTTGAGTCATAAAATATTTTTTTAATCAGCTGTTGTTCGTATTTTACTCGAAGCAGGTGCTGGCTATCGGCGGTTATAAATTTTTTCATGATTCAAGGCTGGTTACACGAGAAAACAACACTCTCAAAACTCTTTACAATTATACTGCCAATTGCATAAGATGTAACTGACGCTAGGATGGGGAAAACTTGCTTTTTTTTCTTTTGTTATTAGACACTTTATCGTACTGAAAATTAACAAATTTGAGGTAGGGTGCGTCATTCTCTTGGACAATTGATGGCTCGTAGTGGGACCCGGCAAGGAGCATGTAACGGCTTAGTATTTCTATTGGATAAAATTGGATACATCCGTTTTACATCACATGGCTTAAAGGAACCGGTAGCAGCTGAACAAATAATAGGCATAGTAATTTCGTCTCGACTAGATCCGAGCAAAAAAAAAGGTTAGGAACATATATGTCAAAAATAGCATTTGAAGCCTGTGACAAAAAAGGATAACCAAACAAGTTCCCGTAGTAAGGGAGTACAAACGCCCTGGACCTATTGTTTACGTGTAGTAGATAATTTTCATTTATGCTAATCTGGGGATCTAAAGGCGTATTTATGTGCCGTCGTATAATTGTGTCACTGTGATTATAAGTATGAATATTCCGTTATTACAATCATGGATCAGAGGAAGTATTTTATAATGGAGTTTGCAAAAAAAAGTTCCGTTATTTAAAAATTTGGTGTATAAATGTAAGCGAAGTAATTGAAAGTACTAAAAATTCTTTTCGGGTAAACTTTTGGCGATTTTACTATGTATGATAGTGACGAATTACGTCAAAAATGGATATGAGAAAGGGCGTCCAACCCATTAGGCATCTGTTTTTTTTTTCTTGCTAGAATCATCTTATTTTTAACAAAAAATTATAAAGTATACAAGCTGTTATTGGCTTACTTTTTTTATTTTTTTATAAATATTTTTCCTGTCAAGCTCCAGTTTGCCACAATTGATAGATATTTTCCTTAGGGTATACCTTGCTCTCACATCAATGACGTTTTTTAATCACAGAAAAAATAAATGCATGAAAGTCAAAAACGTGACGTTGTGACACAAAATAAAGCTATCGATTTGTGCTCAAATTAAGTAAAAAATTGTTGATGAAATTAAAGGATCAATAATTGCTGGAAACAAAACTAAATCATTTATAATACCTTGCAAAAGTCTGGATCACCCATTAGGAAGAGAGAATTCCCCGACATTTGTTAGAGAGTGTAGACGGCACTTGAATAAACTACCTAGCTTCCAGACAAAACAAGCTGCTTTAACAATTTATCAATAGAGAGCTAAAGCATACCATCCATAGAGATTAAAAACATGCCCCAACAGATTAAACAAGATAGCATTAATGAGTTTATCTGTACGTATACTTTCAAGATGTAATTTGTGCAAAGCTTTTCAGGTATTTGCCTTTTTAATCTCACGAGAGAAAACAGACAAATCCAAACAGATTAAGGATTTGTATGAGAAATCTCAAACAATTAATAGTGTTTATCAAAGCGTACTATGATATATTCTACTAATAGTACCACTTAAAATAGGCCTATTTGTATTAGTATTAAACACTAGAAATTGTCATTTGATAAGGTGACGCTTATAATTGCGGCCACGTCCCATTCGGTTACTATACTTTGTGAATTATTTTTTAATTAGCGGACTTGGGAATTGTAAAGGAGGGGTGGTGTTACACTGTTCGTGTTGATTAAATAAAATGACAGGGCGTAAATAGAGTCTATAAAATATGCAAATTCTATTTTTTTATTATGATATAGAGGGTAGAAAGACAAAAATGAGTGCCTATATATCTTTCTATTTTTTTTTTTTGGTGAGGGTTTACTGGGGTCTAAAATTAGGTCTATGAATACATGTAAAGGATGGAAAGGTGGTGTGATAAAAGGGGGGATACGTATAAGATGATTTTAATCCTTCTTTGCTAACTCGGTATGAGAATCGATATCGGTGGCATCCCAAGGGTAAACCAACCATTGATCGGGCATCTCGACAGCAGCGAAATAGTTCTTCATGATTTCCTCTGGTAATTCACGCTTCTTCTCCTTGAGTTTGTTGTGAAGAACAAAGACACCGAGTGTGGTGTTTGACTCTCCGGGTTTCATACCCTTACGAATTTCCTCGGCTTCAATATCCTTTTGGAGTTCTTCCACAGCAAAAGCAAGTGTAGTACGGGTGTCATCTACTTCATCGACAATCAAGATACGACGACCTAAAAGAGAAATCTCGGAGTGAGAAGCACCAAAGTTGAGCCATTGAGTCTTTTGGACTTGAGTACCGGGCTTCTCTTCACCGTTAGCATTCTCGAGTTCTTCGTATAAAGAAAGACCGATAGCTTGAATAGGAATGTTACCACGCTCGGTCTTCTTCAAAAATGTACGGAGCATACGGGCAGGGATGAATCCACCACCACCAATAGCAATCATAAGATCAGGCTTGAACTCTTCATTGATATGGTAACGCTCGACAGAGTCACGAATTGAGTTATGGATTTGGTTATAACTTTTTTTGAGCATATAAAATTAGTCTCTTTTTTCTTCTTCTTGCATAAAAATTCTGTGGCTATTTACCTGATATACAACTTTGACATTTTTGGATAGAAAGAGAAAAAAGATGTACAGTTTTTTCGGTTTATGATTTTTTTTTTTTTTAAATTAGGGTAAGGCAGTGGTCGGATCATATAACCCGTCACAGCGGGGTGGCTTATTTCAGTTACGGCTAAATTATTTTCATGCGGTTAGGCTTTTTTTTTTCTGGACTTTTTCCTTTCATCATGCCTCTTATTATTATTACAGGATTCCCATCCAGTGGGAAAACACAACGCGCCAATGAAATTAAAGACTTTTTAACAAGTAGACTCGAACAAGAAAAGAAGTCGTTCCGAATTCACGTGATTAACGATGAAAGTCTGCACATTCCAAAGGATGCTTATAACGGTAAAAAGAAAAGCAATGAGTAGACCATAGGTTGTCATACTGAACTCCACCTATAGAGGCGAGAGAAGAGAAAAAGGCTAGAGGAGCATTGTTATCAGCAGTGGAAAGAACTTTAAGCAGAGACGATATTGTGATTGCCGACGGATTAAATTATATCAAGGGATTTAGATACCAACTTTATTGTATTGCTCGAGCCATTGGCACCGCGCATTGTGTGGTGCATACAGGTGTTCCTATTTCATTAGCTAAAGAGTGGAACGCCAATCGAACGGATGGATATGATGAAATGATTTTTGATGAATTAGTGTCGAGATATGAGGAGCCTGAGGAACGCAACCGATGGGACTCACCTTTATTCACATTAATCCATGACGATGTAGAGATTCCTGCTGATAGAATTTGGGATGCTGTGATATTAAAAAAGCCACCTCCACCTAATAAATCCACCGTATCCAAGCCCGTATCTGCGACAAATTACGTGTATGAATTAGATAAGGCTACCTTGGAGATTATTAATGCGTTTGTTGAAAGTCAAAGAGAATTTGGACCTGGTGGAAATCCAATGGTCGTACCTAGATCCCAAACCAAAGTCATCAATCCTTCACGCACGATTACTTCTTCTGAATTAAGAAGACTTCGTAAACAATTTGTAACTTATAACAAGATGAATACTACTTTAGACGTGGATCGTTTAGGGGATGTTTTTGTGGAATATCTCAATTCCAATTTAGAATAACAATAATAAAACAAGATAAATTCAGGCTTATAACGTCACTTTTTTGTATGATTTAATCATTATAAAAACTCTTTTCTTACTTGTTTCTTTTTTATTTATTTATCCTCTCTTACGTGAATAACATGGGTAAAAATAATTGTTTTATAAAAAGAAAGATAATCGTAGTAAACAAGTGCATCAGTCATAGCTCAAGTTCAGAAACCAGCTCCCAGTTTTACGTCTGTGGCTGTTGTGGATGGAGAATTTAAAGATATTTCGATTGCAGATTATTTAGGAAAATACGTTGTCTTGTTTTGGTATCCACTGGATTTTACATTCGTGTGTCCCACCGAAGTCATTGCGTTTAGTGACGCCTATAATAGGTTTAAGGCTATAGACTGTGAATTAATTGCAGCCTCCTGTGATAGTGGTAAATTTAAGAAGGCAAAAAATGTATGGTTAGGCTGATATAACTGTGAAATAGAATATACTCATCATGCATGGCTTGAAACACCGCGCCGCCGAGGAGGATTGGGACGGGAGACACGTATCCCTATCATAGCGGATAAGACAAGGCGTATCGCCAAATCTTATGGTATTTACATTGAAGAAGAAGGTATTACGCTCCGGGGTCTGTTTATTATTGACCCAAAGGGAATTGTGCGTCAAATCACGATCAATGATTTACCAGTGGGACGCAATGTGGAAGAGGTTTTACGGCTAGTGGAGGCCTTCCAATTTACTGATAAACATGGTGAAGTATGTCCTGCTAATTGGGTCGCCGGATCAAGAGCTATTACACCTGATACGAAAGAAGCACGAAAGTATTTCAATGATACTAACTAAAAGGTTATTTTAAATCACCGGCACCCTTCCTCACCTTCTCTTTTTTTTTTTTGTGTGTGTGTAAAGCGTACAAATGTTTGTTGAATGCGTTGTTTTGCACATATCATAAAAACTCGGGATTAATAAACACATATGTACACATTGAAAGATTTGGGTTTCGTCGTTAATATTAAAGATGGTAACAATTTTAGAGCAAAACAGAAAGAAGAAACGGAGTTTGAACGCAAATCCTTCTTAAAAAGAAGGTTCTTTTGGAAACAATAATTATTAAAATATCGATTCATTTGTTTTTATTCTCTCTCTTTTTTTTTTTCTTTTAACTCTTTTTATTATTATTCAAAAATGAAAATCATTCCTATTCCTGCACTCGAAGACAACTATTCTTATATTTTGATTGATGAAAAAACAAAAGAAGCTGCAGTGATTGACCCCGTTGAACCTATTAAAATCTTAAATGTCATTAGTCAAACTGGAGCCAAATTATCCAGGTACGCTAAATTTCTCTCTTATTATCGCTATTTCTAACACTTTTTCTCTCCCCCTCTCAGTGTCTTTGCCACACATCATCATTGGGATCACTCTGGCGGAAACATAGAATTAGTGGCCAAAAAACCTGGATTAGCCGTATATGGTGCAGATGCCCGTATACCAGAAATAAATTATGTATGCAAAGACAGAGAAGAATTCAAGTTGGGCTCATTAGATATTACACCACTCCATACACCGTGTCATACCAAGGGTCATGTTTGTTATTATGTAGTGGATCCAAATACAGGAGAAAGAGCCGTGTTTACAGGAGAGTAAGTAGTTTTATTATTGTTATTCTTCTGTATTTTCACACAGGAATACTTTTTTTTTTATAGTACATTATTTATTGGTGGTATCGGTAAATTCTTTGAAGGTGACGCTCGTGACATGTATCGTATCTTGTTTCATATTATTACAAAATTACCCGATGATACCTGGGTTTATTGTGGACACGAATACACAAAGAATAACCTAAAGGTAGGTTGTTTGTATATATACACTTTCTCAGTACTAATCTATCCATAATTAGTTCGCCTTGTCAATTGATCCACACAATGAGAATTTACAAGCCAAATGGGGTTGGTGTCAAGATAAATCCATTACTGTTCCTTCCACAATTGGACAAGAGAAATTATATAATCCATTCTTAAGAGTGAACGAACAATCCATGCAACACGTTGTAGGTAAAAGCGACCCTGTAGAAGTCCTTCATACCTTGCGAGAAATGAAGAATTCATATATATAAATTTTACTTTATCATTTTTCTTTTGCTCTTGTTTATAATCTCAATCGATTTCGCAATCATCTTGTTAATGTTGTAAAAGGCTTCGATCCGTTCTATATCACATACGTTCTTTCGTACATCTTCAATGTCTGAAATAGCCACTTGCACTTTCTGGCTCGATTGCCTCAACCGTCTTTTCGTCTCTACAATACGTGGCACTTTGCGATGAATATGGTCTGATATCCTATAAAATCCAAGTGAACAATCGTTCAATGACATTAGCAATATCTGAGAAAACCCTTGCATAGCTTCATTTTAAGGTTGTAAGTAAGACTTTCTTTCAGATATATATACATATATATCCGTGTATACCTTGCTGTAATTTGTCGGCTTGTCGGATTTTCTTCTTATCTTCTACATTGCCTGCAAGCATGCTGAGACTAGAATTGGAGGCTCTTCTGGCATACAGCGATAACTGGTCAATAGACATGGTCGACCAGGATGGCGAATGCACTGCATTAGAAGAAGAGCTAGACTGAATAGAAGGTGTCCTCTTCTTTTGCTGAGACCAAGACGAAGGAATTAATACTGACAAGGGACGAGATGACATTGAATAAAAGGGATGACGAAAGAAAGCAAGAGGGGAAAATTTTAATTATTTAAAATAAACCAAGTCTTTATTTGTTTAGAGTCCAAACAATCTTGAGCACAAATGTTATTGGTTCTTTAACAATGGGGTGACTATGAAAAAATTTATAAGGAAAAGATTAAGCTTATTACAGTGGATGTTAACACTTTCACACAAGTATATGGGCGACATTAATTCGCCAAACAATATGTGTTTTCCCATAAATACATCTAACTCCCAATATATTTAGGGATATCTAATCCATTAAGGAAATTAATATTCCTACATTTTGCTGCATAAGAGGTCAACCTAATGAAAGTAGAGACGAGTATTACAAGCAAATTTATACTCACTTTATATAAACAAAAGCCTTGGATGGTCTGAATAGCTTTATTTATTACATTAACATTTACAAAAAAAAAACTTTGTATCCTGTTTATTTTTATTACACTGAGCATTCCTTCAACACAAGATATGATGTTGCCCTGGTTATACCTCTCTGTCCCTTTTTAAGCCGGCGGTATTTAAACTTTTAGGCGGCATCCTTCGGCCAAGGATAAGGGTCTGTTCTTATTTTATCCAGTTTTAAAATATGGGAGGCGATTTCCCAATTATTTGCTCTTCTTTCTTCTACAGCGTCGTCAAAGACATGTCCACATAATTCCAAAACATCCTTAGGTGGTACAGTTCGACCCGACATCTTCTTAAAGACGATTTTGCTGAAAGCAAAGCAAGCGACCTCCTCTTCGTTGTTGGCAGTGGTAGTAACAAACCGATGTTGAAGAAATAACCATTTATCATTCCAGCTAAAGATACGAGTCTGAACTTTATACTTGGAAAATGGAAGGATTTCTTTACGGAACAGTGTCACGACACCACCACTATGACCAAAAATATGATGGTCAGGTTCCATCATCACTCGAGGAAAGATTGTGTATAATATGTGGATTCGACTAAAATCAAGTATCTTGTTGTACATGCTGCTTTATACTATTAGTCATGAAATCACGTAACCTTGAATTTCTCACGTTACCTATTATTCTTTTTTTTTTTTACATTTTAGTTTAGCAACCACAAATGTTGTTCCTTTTTTTTTTCACGTACCATATGTTGATTATAATCAATATCATCAAGGTAACAGCGATGATCTTGGGATATTGTTGAAAATAATGCTTATGAAAAGAGAAAGAAAAAATAATTAAATTCGGCCTTGGGCTAGAAACAACAAAAGGTTACATACGATCTGGTTTCAGCTTGTTCTCTTTGGCCTGTCTGATCAGGGCTCGCAAAAGAAACCATGATCGTACCGTATATGCCAACGGTAATGACTTTAAATGAGTCATAAGCAATAATCCAACGGGAATACCCACTGCCAGTGCCTGGGTTGGTATATTATTCATATGAGGGTCGTAGAGAGAGAGAGAGAAAAGGAACACAGAATAATAAAAAAATGAAAACTAAATTCAGATAAAATCAGATTTTAAACCCAGGTTTTTTTTATTTTATATTTTTCAGCAGAAATGAGTTGCAGTACTCTGAAAGAAACTTCCCCAGTACTTTATGGATGTTTCTGGTCGAATTATTTGTCCCTCTTCAAACTCAAAAAATCTATCATTGTCTATACTAAAGCGGATATTTGGAATTGAGTTACATTTAATCGAAAAGGGGTTCGATGGTTTAGTCTCGGTACGCACAAGAGTGTATGTATTCATTTCTGTCAGTTGCTTCTGAATGGTATAATATGTGTCATCTCCGTTATATTCCAAGTGTATTGATAAATTAGCGAGTGTAGAATCATTATAAAGCATAGTGCGTGTGTCCAAAGTGAGACTATTTAAACTTGATAAGCTTGTGACATTCAATTCCCCACTTTTTTCTGTCCAGTCACTACCGTCTTCATCGCCGAATTCGGTCACGATTTCTTGTACACCGGGCAAATGATTTCTAAGTAAACCAACCATCTCATTGGACAATCCACCACCCACCACTCTGAACACCTTTAATATATCATGCTTGCTCGCCCTTGGATTAAACCTCGTTGGTTTTAGCGCTGCACCACCAAACATTTGACGTGTGTTGTTCTCCAATTCAAACCGACACAGATGAGGACATTGGGTAAGAGCATATTTTAATGCTTGGTATAAACTGTCTTCATCCTCTTGTCGCCGCATTGTAAATGCCAAATGATTAATGATTTCAGGTCCGATACTGGACTTTCCAAGGTCAGGGGTAAAAACTGACACACATCGATCTACATTCTCCCCTTCATTTAGAGTAAAATCCTCGTGGTCTAATCCATATCGAAACTCGAGACGGTGGCCTGATGTTTTGATCTCAGTCTCGTTGGGGTCAAAATCATCATACGCACCAGTGCAATACATGTTTCGGCCAGCTCGCAAAATACCCAGGAACCGATAGAACAAGGTCATCTTTAGGCCATTGGAGTCCCGTTTATACTGTTGCTGAGATACAGAGCATATAATTCGAACATGCTTGACTTTGCTCAAGAAGCGAGCCAATTTATCGGCAGTACGCACGCCTAGTTGCAATATCCAATTACAGAAATCAATGCTTTTCAATTGAATGGATACATTCTCCATATCCTTGGGCATATGTGTTGTAATGTAATTGATATAGGCAGGGGACAAGGAAGGAGCTGTGATATCTAGCTGTTTAAGTTTAGAACGGGATAGATTGCTTCGGACCAAATCATTGTCGAGCAGGTACTCTTTGGTATGATACTTGAGCCGCACTAAATTAGGACATATACCGAGAATATGAAAAGGGGAGAGACGACTATGTAAGGTCTCGTTATAAAGATCCAGATGGGTCAAATGCTTGAAGGCCGATAATAACGAAATAAAGGTATCATCCTCCGACTGGTATGTATAAGAAAACAAACTAGATGCATTATAAACAGTTTTTAAACGAGTCAGTGATTGGCGATAGTTATAACATGCTGCAAGGTTTGGTAAAAAAGAATTTTCATGCATATCACACGGAATTTGTTCCAATCTTTGGATCCGTTGATTTGAATCTGCTAGACATTCCATGTAATAGTTGAAATAGTGGCTACTCGTTGCATCCAACACTCGAAGGTTGGGTAAATAAGATAGCAAGGTTGCGAATTCTTTCGGTCTTAACTTGAATGAGCGCTTAGCGGAATCTTGTCCGGGTATCATGGTCTTGTATGAGCTGAAATTGTCGAATTGAATGCTTAATTTCTTGACCCAGTGTCCACGTTGAAAGTGTTCTTTATGATGCTTTCTGGGAAGCCCCAAAAGTTGTTTGACTAAAAGTATAGTACCGGCATGCAGCGGGATCTCTTCAAAGTACAATGGGGTAATCAATGAATGCCATGTCTTACAAACAAACATGCATTCTCGCAATGCCTTTCTTTCTAACAACCGGAATGTGGTAATGAGTAATTCAGCTGGTACATTGCTTGCAGACATATTGAAATATATTTTTCGGTTTAGAAAGAAGAAAGGAGGAGTAGAAATTTAGGGAGGGTTATAAGGGGACAGGAAGTTCATTATCGTGTTGTTTATATTGCCATAGTTTAGTAGAAATCACGAGCTCCAGTGCTTAAATTTGTTGTTTTAAAAAAAAAATTATGCATCAAAGTATAGTCAACAAAACGCAATGCCAACTTGTTTCAAGCTAGTCCATAGAATCCCAAGCTGAAGAAAGCGTACCTGAATATCTATCTAAACCATTACATCAGGGCCCTTCTTTTTTTATATTTATCTATTTTTGTTATATTGTTTATATTGGTCTTCTAATGATTCATTGTTCATTGTGGGCTCATTCATTATAGTTTTATCTGATGCCTTCAGCATATATTTTATTGTACTTGATAATTAAAATACCGTTGTCCATATTGTTAGCATACATCAATTTTTAATTAAACATTCATAAACTGCAAATTTGACAAAATTTCTTCTCTCAGGCACGTTATAAACGACATTCTTTGAATATAAAAAAAATCAAAGCCTGCTACACAGCTTAGACTGATTTTGTTATTATTTATTGATATGTATACTCTTAATTGAGCTATATCAGACTTTGCATAACAAATAAATAGCTCACTCAACAGGACCTGGGTTACCGTTTAGTTGAGTCCAGAAAACCGGGTTATTTTCTTTTTTTTTAATTATCGAATAAAAGGGGAAATAATAAATCGTCACAGTATTAAAAAGTCATGAGCTCTATCAGGAAGGGGGTGGGGTTGTGCACAGAGATACTACGGCAAAATTCTTTTGTTGTATGATCTCCTAAAGATCTACTTTATTCACAAGAATAGAAATAATGACAGTTTAGCATAATGAACACAAGAAAAGGGAACCCGCCCATAGGAAAGGGTCCGGTCAATGCAATTAATAGAAATCAGAGCTTAAAAACGGCTTATTATTTATCGATAAACAAGCCTGTACGAATACACTCTTGTCTAAAGTAAGTTGATTGAACCGACAGGTGCAAATAAGCAACAAACAGAACTAACTTTTTGACGTATATTTCTTTAGTCGTACCACCATGTCATTTGATCCTATGTGTAACCCAACCGTACCTTATTTTTCTCTTTCTTCTTTTCTTTTACGAGATCACTGCATGACGTAGCTCTCATAAGGTTTAGATAAAACAGGGTTTATGAAATACAGTGTTCCCCTATATCTACACACAAACTTGTTTTTATAGTTTTCGTCGGATGCTCAAAATCGAAGCACTGACCAAGCCCATATTTCACTTGGCTGTGCGACAAAGCACAAAAGAAACCTTCCAGCAATTTCCGTAGATCAGCGTCTGTTAAAGAATAATACTCTCTGAATATTCCCTCCTCAAGAGAGCAAAGCCTTGTTTTTTATCTCCATATTTTATTCGATTTAGTTCATTTATCCACCATTTATCTTCAACTTCAATCCTAATCATGCAGGAGCAACTCAAAACAACACTAGTGAACCCCTCCTTTACCTTGCACCTTCAAAATGAGTGAGAGTCTTAATTTTAATCTCCAGAATTATCCTCGTCGTGTCTAGCATTTAGAAGAAAAATTGTTTATAGTATTCTCAAAACCCGTTGAATCTAAACAAAGATACCAACAGGTTTGTCAGTTTGCGCAGTATAATGGGCGGATGATTTCACAATATATCAGGCCCACAGCTTTAACTAATCTCATATCAAAATTTGTAGGCACTGGAGCCATCTACCTCTTGATACAGAAAACGATATATTTACATTGTCTACGGCATTTATAAGCATTTATAAAGGACTAAAAGAAAAGAACATTGGATTATTAGTATAATACGAAGTTGGGGCTTACTGGTGCACTCACCCGCAGTTTTGTTATTTTAACGGCTATAAATGGGGCTCTTGTAAATTACTTCAAAGAGGTCGAAACAACGTGATTCTAACGTTTAAACATTTGCCTTCTTTTAGCCGCACTATTCCAAGTCGCTTACAGAATAATCAGATGAGAAACCCGTTTCTTTTAATTTACGTTTAAGACCTACAAGCGGAACGTTGCTTTCAAATTTACCAAAAGACATCCTCTGTTTTTAAAGTGAAAACATGTGAATTATGCTCCTGGAGGTAAAGGTGTTGGTGAAACCCCTCTCGGTAGTTTGCTTAGTACCCCCTAGGCTATTGTTAATATCCACCAGACAGCTGTTACTACACCCCAGCTACGTGAATCAAGTGAAAGGTATCTGATAGACGGAATAAGAAATTAGAGGTCCTTTTATAAACAAATTATAACTTCAGATACTTTCTCTGCTTAGTTATTTATGAGGTTTGACTTGAGATGGTGGTATTATACTTTGGAATTTGTGTTTGTCCGTAATGTTGGAATTCGTATCAATCCGTGACATTCGGATTTGGTCTTTGTCTGTAACACCTGGAGACGGTTTATTTTTGAGCTACTTGAACACCTCTTTCTTTTATTTCAATAAAATTGCTCCTTTAGTTATAAGAAAATGCCCCTAGTAATTGTCCTTACAATAAATATGCAAACTTATATAAAGGTGCTTGAAAAAGATAAAGCTTTTATATTTGATGTATGACACATGTTGAGTTAATCTTTTATTTATACGGCATATAAACTGTTTACGTCTCTGCAATAATTCTAATAGCCTCCATTTGGCCTATTCGTCCAAGTGTCATTTTTTTATTGAATAATCTGAAAGAGTGTTAATTAATCTAACTCTTTCGAAGTGTACTTGTGCTTATACGCTTCAACCCAGCTCAATCGAATCAGCCGCATCCATTAAAATTGTGATAAAGGTGACCCTAATCAAGACACAATGATAAAACAAGACATCATCAAACTCTGATACGATTAATAGGAGTATATATTACAGTTACCGACTTAGGAAGCATGAGCTCAACCGTCTGACATTGATAGCTAATACCCTTTACAAAGCGTTTGACCACTTTTATTTCCAGCCAGATTTTTCAGCACTGTCTACTGAACATACACTTATGTTACCTCTAGAATATTTTTCACCAGTATAACCTGTAAACGTTGGCTTGTAGAGAATGCCGCTTTCCCTGCTTCTAGTTTCTTTGTAATATATAATGTCACCCATATTCGGAGAATCCGCCGATATCTACCTTTTTTTTTTTTTTTTTTTTTGCCCAGATTTAGTAAAAAATTTAATGAATAAATTAAAGGCTTTCAATAACCGCTGTCAGTGCAAATGAAGTATATCCAGATGCTTCAACTCAAAGGATTTAGCCGAGATCAAGATACCTGCTTACATTATATTCTTTCAGTCATGCATTTTGAGTACTCTGATTATAAGAGACTCAAAGGCAACAAATATTACAGACATATGAGACTCCGTAGTTTAAAAGAGAAACACATAAGAACATGACTAATACACCTCGGTTTAAACTGCTAAATACACATGAATGTGTGGTTAGACGCTGTATATTAACTACTGAGTAAAACCTAAGGTTATTTACTCATCAGATTCCGTAACTGGATGTGCCTAACCTTTTGGAAACATTCAGTTTGATTAAATTATAACGAAGGAACACAACTAACACAGTTACATTTCAATCAGCCAAGTTAAGACAGGTCAGTAATCAGATCTTTCGGAGCAAGCAATTAAAAATTGAATCATTCATTCTTACAGGTAGTAGACCCTTGTATTTGGGTAGAGCTTTTTTTTATGAGTAGCAATTTTTAATTTTAATGACTTTCAGATAGTCTACGGTATTTTTTTTTTTTTTTTTTTTTTAATGAAGCCATTTATTTCTGGGAATTATAGTACCAACAAATAAGCATGACTATTATTTTGGACAAAGAACTAACGCTGTAAGTTACTCAGTCCTTTCTATTTTGCAAAACAAAAAAGCTGTATTAGGGTAGCTGGTTTATGGGCTCGCATTAGATGCCTTCGATAAATACTTACGTATTTGAACAACTCTGCTATTATGAGATGTTCAAGGACATTGTGCCAATTCATGGTGAGTATTATCTATTTATTTCTTAATAAAAAATATGTGCAATCGACAGCACAGGTATGTGGATTGCTTGTTACCTATTGGAGAGCATAAAATTTATACGATTATGTTTGGTTCATTTAAATAATTGGCAGTGCAAAAACTTTACATTACGACATCTTTTTTTTTACAACTAAACACCCGATAACTGATAACCGCGTTCATCTAAAGTGAAATCCTCAGCTTTAAGACTTTAGCTGAAGCGCAAAACTTTTTTAAAAAAAGGAGAAAAGTTTTATAGGAATTCTCACTGTCATTAAAGCTAATCGATAATTAAATATCAAAACAACCGGCGTGTATCCTGAAAGATAGAAAAAAGTGTTAAAATTTTATTAAATGACACATTGTGTCTTATTTATAAACACTTCGAATAATACAATATGTTGCAGTATAGTAAAAAAACAGCGTATACTGCTATTACTTCATCTTGAACAACACCAAAAAATAAAAACAAGATAATTTGATTGGCTCCTTTTATAATCACATATTTAATCTCCGAATTTTGGCACGAAATGCAAAAAAAGTAATTGGAGTAGCTGGGCGTCGATCCCAGTGCCTCTCACATGCTAAGCGAGCGCTCTACCATTTGAGCTACAACCCCAAATCACGTGATATTGAACCTTATTTAGGAGCCCATATACAAATACCAAAATATTTTGGCAACGAGATTTTTATTTTATTGTGTTTTGGCACTAATTTGAAACCATTACAACTTGTAAAAAACGTTTTTGGACCCCTACAAAAAAAGAAAACTTTGACACTGCTTTACAAACGAAGCTTATTTTTAACTGCTCTTCAAACATTGTATGCATGTTAATATCACTTGTTGCAATAATTTTACAAAAAAGAAAATTAAAAAATGTTGGAATCTGATAGATTTATCTTCATTTCAAGTTTGTCAAAAAAAACATTTTTTTAAAACATTTTTGTGGTGTATGTAGATTACTCT